GCAGTGCCGAAGAGTCCCAAACTAGGACGAAAAATCTGTCCAGTACTCCTAGCTAGTCTTCCAGTGGTTCTATAACTAATGTCAGCCTATCCTCCATACAAAATCAAACGAAATCCCTACAAAACCAATACTTGAAAATTAATATGATATGCTCACTAGCAACTGGCCCTATTCAGGCAGTTAACCCAGGGTTCTAGTGGGAGGCCGTGACCAGTACGGTACAGCAGGTCGAAGATGGGTCAGTAGCTCATCGAACGAAAGACGCTACGAAATGGTCGCGCCGTGTCACGAATTAGCAGAAGTTAGAATTCGAGAACCATTGGATCGGTCTCAGTGGCTCAATGGTCTACGAGCTAGCTGGCCTTGTAACCAGAAAGTCCTGGGTTCGAGCCCCGGTGATGGGTGCGTACTGTTGAAGAATCCCACACTAGGACGAAATGACTATCCAGTACTCCCAGGTTTTCCAGTGGTTCTCTAACTGACGTCAGCTCATGATGAAATCCTCCATACAATCAGACAGATAACATTTCGAACTGCATCACAGGCTAAATACAGAGTTCAGTTCACCGGCGGGATATGCCTTGGTGACACATAAGTATGATGCCTAAATATCCATGAAGTTGCTGCTAATTGCTTCCAAACTGTTAAATATCAATGGACTCCAGTGGACAGGGTACTTAGCTTGATTGGGCATATTAGAAACTTGAAAAAAATGAGTGAGAATTTGAGAGGTTTCGTGTGCATTTCGGATTGTGAAGGCAATTGTTGCTTCCTGGTTGTCCACACCGTGGAAGTTGGTTGCGTGACTGTAGAGCCTAGGGGACAACTGCTTGAGGCCAGCCACATGCGGCATGTTTTTGTTTGTTCTTTTTTGTTTGGTGTGCCTCAGTAGCATATTTATCACTCTTGCCCTGTGACACGGAAGCAGGAAGCGCTGTCGTTTTTAATCTGGGCCCCGTCCGATCCGGCATGATATTCTGTGAGTTTGTTCGAATCATGATATTGGATCGGGTAGCTGCTTTTTGTTTAACCGCTATCCAAACAACTTTTCTGGCATGGTAGGACCTCAAGAGACATAAGTCTCAGCCAGTATAGCTTGATTAGGTCATTGCGGTGTTCAAGCTCAACCACCACGTGAAGGTAGCAGCTTTCGGTCGGGAGAAACTTAAAAGATAGAATTGATTCAATACAGTACCGGTTACTATCCAAGTTCCGTCCTCCGTCATCATGGCTGTGAAACCTGACCACTGAGAATGGAAGACATGAAAAGCCTGGCTAGCTGTCTTTGATCATAGGTGCCTGCATTCTGTCGCCAGTGTTTGGTAGCGTGGTGAAATAGGGTGAGCAATATTGAGGTTAGGCGTCGAGTGGTAGCTAAGGAGGGGAAATCAATCGATAAGACTGTGAAGCTACATTGACTGAGATGGTTAGGACATGTGTTGCGCATGCATGCCTAGTCATCGACTGCCTTTCTCAACAGTGGGCAATGTTAGCTGACATAGGGTCAGGCTGGAAAAGAGCTAGCGGTGGTCAAACCAAAACATACACTCATCCAGTCAATGGAATCCACTACAGTTAGTTTAAGCCGGCCACGTAAGGAGGTGTAGACTCCTTGGGACGGTAAAAACCAATGAAGGCTGGAGACGATTGGTGATATGGCTCAAAATCCTTGTTGTCAATGAATAGTGCAGATGCATCCACTCCTTATGACATAGTACCTAATAAAGCGATGTTGCTCTTCGTTATTAATATTCCTTTTGTCTCATATCTCTGCCTATAGTCTCTATTTTTTGCATTTCTTTTTACTTTCTTCTCTTGCTTTGTGTGCTACATGGATCAAGGGTGTGGCGATTTGAACTGCTGCACTTCGGCGCAAAAGATTTGAAGTGAAGAGACAGATGCAAGACAAGGCTGGTCACTAATATTACCAGCGATGATATTCCTAAATTGTAGTGGACTGGATTATGAAGCAGGCTGACGGCAGGAGAGAGAGAAGACAGGAATACGTTGAATCGACAGGGGACTCCAGAAGATTCATGCCTAATGACCCACAAATGAAAATTAAACAAGTGTTGGCAGTAAAAAGCGGATAGAGCAGATAGAGGACTTCAAGTGGACAAAGACGACACACATGTAGTGAAGGTAACAAAGTGACAACAAAAAAGCATTAATCACTTTCTTTCACTTATCTGCGCAGTATCGTTTTAACTAAGACATAGAGATATCAAGCTAACCACCAGCGCTGGGCGAAATTTACAATTGTGACGACGGTCGGGGTGGTCAGAACCGGACATGTGTGCGTGTGTGTGTGGCTGGCTGACGAACATTCCCAATACTGGATGCACTGACAAATCATAATCCGATGTCGCCCAGTCTACGATCGAAACTTACAGTGTGTGTGTGTGTGTGTGACAATGAATGATACTGTCTGGCAAAAAGAGGGATTCGATTATCGATAAGCCAAAGTTTTATCGAGATGGAAACACAGGCGAAAGGGCATATGAGTATATGACATGCTTCATCTGGCAGCACATTCATATTTATTCAGCAGATGCTAAAAATTAACTAACTTGCTTGGCATTATTGGCAAACTTACGCTATCTCTGACGTAGAAGTGATATCAAGTTATCATATCTGTCTGTTTTCGACATAGAACTTCGCACACATGTGCAGCAGTTCAAGTCGCCACACTCACTCCATGTACCACACCAAGCAAGAGAAGAAAGTAGAAGAAAAGCATATTAGGAACAGTAAACAGAGGTGTGAGACAAAGAAATAGTAATAACGAAGAACAAAACAGTTTGTCATTAAAACGTTGAGTGTACTGCTCAGCATCAGTTCGCTGTATCATCCTTTACAGCTGTGATCACGACATGGCCATTAGAACAAGGGAAGACATGCAAAGCCTTAATGGCTGTCTTTGATCATAGGTGCCTGCGTTCTGTCATGCATGTTAAGTGCCGTTGTATAATTATTAGGTGAATAATATTGAGGTTAGGCGTCAGTCAAGTGCTAGTTGGTAAAGACGGGAAATCAATCGACGAGGTTATGAAGCAGCTGCATCGATTGAGATGGCTTGGACATGTGTTACGCATGCATGACTAGTCATCACCTTCCTCGACGAGGAATGTTAACTGACATAGGATCAGATTGAAAAAGAGTTAGTTAGTGGTAGTCGAACCAAAACATAGCTTCATCAGTAAATGAAATCTACAACAGTTAGTTTAAGCCAAGTAGGAAGGTGCAGACTTCCTGACTGACTGGCTGGGGTCCTCGGGACGGTAAAAATCATTGAAGGCTGGAGACAATTGGTGATACGGTTGGCTCGAAATCCTCGTACTCAATGGCTGGCGAAGATGCATCCACTCCTTGTGACTTATAATACCCAATAAAACTATATTATTCTTCCATATTACTATCGCATTTGCCTCATATGTCTGTTTACGGTCACTATTTGGCATTTCTTTTTACTTTCTTCCCTTGCTTTGTGTGGTACATGGAGGGAGTATGGAGACTCGAACTGCTGTACATCTGTGCAAAGTTCTACGTTGAAACCAGTCAGTCAGTCAATCATAATTGTAAAAAGCAAAGTTCGTTTAGCTTCCCTAGGATACTTAGAGTGACAAGACAAGCCACAGGTACGCTCATTGCACATACACAGATGGACAGACGGATGTACATACATACAGATATTGCAGACATTTTATACTTTCAGACACAGACGAGATGGATTACAGAATTCTATCATGATGAGCCATCGCCTTCCTCGACAATGAGCAGTCTTAGCTGACTGACATAGGATTGATCAGGTTGGAAAAGAGCTAGTTAGTGGTAGTCAAACCAAAACATAGCTTCATCAGTCACTGAAATCTGCAACAGTTAGTTTAAGCCAGCCACGTAGGAAGATGTAGACTTCCTGACTAACAGATTGGTGTCCTCAGAATAGTAAGAGCCATTGAAGTCTGGAGACAATTAGTGATAAGGCTCAGATGTGTCTACTCTTTGTGACTTATAATATCCAATAAAACTCTATTGTTTGTCCGTATTACTCTTTATTTTGCCACATATCTCTGTTTTGAATCTCTCCTTACTTTCTTCTCTTGCTCTGTGTGCTAAGTGTGGCTGCTTCGAACAGGTGCACATCCGTGCAAAGCTCTGAGTTGAAACTAGTCTGACAGTCGAAAAGCACCTATATTAATAGGCATTGAAACTTATACCCAGCATATATATTATCGCACACATATATACAAATACAGTAATGTCGCATCAAACGCCATACACACACACACACACACACAAAAAAAAATTAACACCTTCATTATAAACTAATACAACAATTGTGGACAAATAAACCAACACAGAAAGAACTCTATTATTATACGCACGCAAGCACAGTATGTAATTATATTTATTTTTCGATTAGAAAAGTGCAAGACAAATACATGATTGTGTAAAATACCCAACCTCCTTACTTACTGAATTTAAAAAATGCAAAATAAATATAGCAGTTACAGAGGAACAAGTAGACTGAAGAGGCGAGATGGAAGCCGTGGGAGGCGAGGTGAAGAGAGGGGGGATCAAACAAACAAAAATGCGCTTGTTATTATGGCACTTTCGCCTTTTTTTTCTCTCATGATTTCAGTCACACAAGCGCACATACACACACACATAGATAAAAAAAAGGTGGTCAGTGTTGGCATACAAAAACTGCGCGTCACAGTCAACACAAACAGATAGATATTCACAATAATAATATAGGTGATAAGTTGTTAGAAATGTGGGGAAAAATTATGTGTACATATATGAGTCCGTATATATATATTAGGCACTTAAAAATTGTTGTCATAATTATAATTAGACACTGATGTGTGTGTGGTGATGGTGAGGTGCGGTGCGAAGAAGAGTTATCCTTAAATCATTGAAGACCGAATGAATAGAATTCTTCATACTGTCTGAGTGAGAGAGGCGGTAATTGCTTAGGAATCAATATATTGTGACAATCACTTCGATGATGATGATGATGACGATGAGATTCCTGGTGCTGGTGGTGATCCATGTATTAATAGAGCACCCAATTGTGAAGAGACTGGTTGTGAAAACTCCAGCCTTGCATCATAACGTGATAGACAATCGAAATGCTCTGGCATCCAATCTCTTAGAGAATCAAGACAACCATTTAACCATGTGATCCAGGCATCACGTTCTTCTGGGGTATCAGCGCAGAGTAAATGTCTAGAAAGATGCAAGAGAGAGAGAGAGGGAGATAAATCGAAATTAGTGAACATAAAACAAAACAGACAACACACGCCTTAACAGTTGCTACATGGAAAAAATCAATAAATAGGAGAAATTACTCATCTACGATATTTAGAAAGTAAAATTAACTTAGCCAAGACAATATTTACTTTTCATCAACTAGATCTTGAACTCTGTCTGCACTTACTGAAGTAATGGCAACACAGAGGCACGTTGTCTCTTCACACTACCACTCCTATATTGTGTTTGAGAAATAAGGACAAACAACCTAATTTCGCCTCCATCTCTGTATTCATCTACCAGAAATGACTGCAGCAGTTGTGGAGCCAGCTACACCTTGGGCGTGCACAATTAGACAGGTTCATAATCGTATTTCCGTACATCATCTTACAGCATGGTTAAGCCAAATAAACAAACGACATCTATTTGCAGGTCTGTCTTTCAGGATTACCATGTAGATAGTGAGCATAAGGTTGATGTTATTAATACAGCATTTAAAGTTATTTATCTCATTTCTATAAATCTTAATTTTCAAATGTTGGTTTATGGGGATTTGGTTCATTGGTTACAGGATTTCATCATGAGCTGACATTGGTTAGAAAAATATTGGAAAACCTGTCAGGGAGTACTGGACATCTGTCTCCTACCTAGTTTGGGACTCTTCAGCAGTAAGCATCCACCGGGGGGTTCGAACCAGATTTCCAGAGAAATCTATCTATCTTGTAACACAAGTTCGACGGTATCCCTGAGAGTCTACAATACCTAGAGACCATATGTAAACAAGGTCCAAATGGAGTTGATATTCACTAACCAAAACAGATGCTTCTGCTTTAATAATTCGCTACAAGTCCAGCTTGAGTTGTAATAGATCAAGTATAGATACTTGCTAGCTAGCCAAGTGACCTTAAGAGAAGTTCACTCAACAAGCTTCCACAACCATTTGTCACCAAAATCATCAAATGCTCAGACTTGTTTTCAAAGTAACAACTCAATAATTCATCAACCTCTCCGAACTGAAGCATCCGTGTGTAAGAGCTCTACACATAGTTGTCATCTGAGCCAGTGACGTCAACCAGTGGGTTCAGGCAGGAATTGTCTGCAGTCTCCCTATTTTGTTTCAGTTTTATCATAGGTGTACCAATGAAATTGACCATTACTAACTTCAGGGATTTGTTAAAAGGAACAGTCTCGTAGATTTAGAATATATGTGAGTGATATAGTCCACGTTCTAGGGTTAAATACACATTGATGAAATACAGAGTCTTCTGAACAGTTTTGACCAGTAATCCTCAACTGTTGTTTGGCATACGAATCATTCCTGGTGCTGAAAGACTGATGTCTGCATTGATAGAAGTGTAGTGATAGAGCATATACACTAACTCACTCTCATTTTAGGAATTTGTATCGCCCCCTGATGTATTGAAGACTGTTGATGAAATGTCTTCACAAAATTACTCTCTATTTTCCTTATTTTCTCTCTCTCTCTCTCTCTTACATGAAGTGCGACAAACTTGAACTGGAGAGCTACTTAATATGTGCCATTATGGATAAGACTTTATTTTGAAAAATCACACAGTGTGCGTTATACAGTAATATTAACTGATGCGACCGTGTAGGGTCTGTAGGCTAAAAGACCCGGTGGACCCAATTACACAAAATAAGATAATTGACAAAATGCCTTGCAATGACTGCGAGTTAGGTCAACTACATGGGTAAATCTAGTAGATCGGAGGTAGTCTGATTGTCGGAACATAAGAATTTAGCTTAGGTAAGAATGGTAGACCCCAAGAAGATAAGTAATTTAGGCAAAAGCTCAGCAATTGCACTGCATGCATTAACACACAACCACACAAATAGGGTAGGAGAGGGTTAAGATTCTAAGAATTAATCTATGTAGGTGGGGAGATTGATTATTGAATCCTGGTTTATTGAGTTTACACCCAACACATGCAACAGAAGTGACTCAACGGAAATACCAGAGATATGCATGGAAGATATTATTACCACCAGTCAGTCAAATCACAGGAGGATAATAAATAATCTTAAAATTCTATTTCAATTCAATTCACGTACATCATAACATTCTAACAAGTTGCTTATTATTTTGACCATAAAAACACTCGTCTTATTTCCCATCTGATTGTAATTGATCAACAACACTCGGTTTATTATTATTGTTTCTGAATGTACATTATCTTATATTGAGTTTTATTCAAATGTCTAATCATCAATTTCGCTCATGTACATAAATGAAGGAAAAAAGTTGTGTGAGTGCCTTGATATGATTATGAGTAGCAATGATAAATTGTGCTCGAAACGTGTGACACTTTATCAAAATAAATCTTATCCATAATGAAGTCATACTCGACCACCACAGTGCCCAAGTTTTTTTTTAATTACAGCTTGATTCCACACTGTATTTTCTGGTACAAGTATGGAATTTTTCTCAGCATGGATATCGGTAGCCGAAATTTTACAGACCGACCATAGATATCAAGTGTGCGTCGGCAGGGGATCGAACTTCGGACTATGTGCATGGTCGGGGCGAGAGTCCTAACCACTGTGCCACCGACGCACATATACTTATATTACTGTGTGCCAGCTATCACAACTAGTCAGGGTCCCAGTTATCAACCTTAAAAGTTTGTTTGTTAGTTAGTTAGTTGGCAAATTCGTTAGTTACTGAGAAGAACTTTAGTTACTCGGCAGAGATGATAACACCACCACCAACCAAGTGCCTCCACTTCCTCTCTTACATACTAATCTGAAATAAATGAAACCGGACTCGAACTCGAACCGACTGACTGATTGACTAACTAACTGATTGAAAGCTAAGCGACTGAGACAACAATGTGACACACACACACACACAAGAACGTCAGCCAACAACAACAACAACAACAACAAAGAAAACTTACTTTTGCTCTAACCATTTATAATCTTTTGATGCACGAAATACTAAACTTTCATTTGATGCACCAACATCAACACCACCACCATGAGTATCCCCCTTTGTCTTCTTATTTTTCTTATCCTTCTTATCATTCAATGTAGAGGAGGAGGAGGATAGATTATTCACTGACGCCGATAAACATGTTGGATCAATTTCACGCAATGAACGCATATACAGTGTATTACTACGTGCACAGATTGAACGTGGTGCTAGCATAGCACCTGGTGGGCAAACAACATGTCTCAAGTCAATACGACCTAATGGTGGATTAGAAGTAGAGGATTTATTATGCATTGGATTGTTTTTGTTGTTATTATTGATACGAGATGATGATCCTCCATTGCTGTTGCCACCATCACCTCCACGTCCGTATTCATCTTCTGGATACTTCCAAAAGTGTAGATAACCTGCACGTAATTGACACCAATACCGTTGCCAGACACCCATACCACCGATATCCTCAAAGACTGTCTATATAGTAATATGAAATAATAATAGTAAGGTAAAAACAAAAAAAATCAATAATTGAATGAATGAATGAATGAATGCATGATAGAAGAGGAGGAGGTTTCATTATCTTCCCCGACATCATGTTCAACACTGATTTTAAAATATATAAATTGGGTTTGTCTGTAGAGATTTGATTTTGTTTCAAGTTTGATTGTGGATTAACAACAGTTTGAGAACCATCAAATCTCTAAAAAACGAACTCATGAAAATTACTGTGACGCTTGTTAGTCACTTGCTGACTAAAGTTCTAGTGGGAGGTCCACCAACAGGTTGGCGAATACTCACCACAAATGATATTCGCTGGTGCCAGTCGCATTAAAATCATGAATTAGTAGATGTTAGAAATCATGACACATTCATCAGGTAACCTCATGGATAATTAAAAAAACTCGCTTTACATTTAAGTTAGCCAAGCGGACGAGGATTTCAATACCAGCCAGAACCGGAAAGGCAAGACAGGCACCTTCATTACTCCTAAATCAATTTGGATATCTGCTGCACTCAGCCAGTATTGAGAGAACAAAATTCGTAATTTCAACACAAATGTTAAGTCAGTCACTACTTCTATATTGATCAGAAACTTGGCTCGAACGTCATGAGAAGCGTTTTCAACAGACTGCCGAAGACTTTCATCACACAGGTGTCTTCGCTGGCTTCATTTTGAAGATCAGATGATCGGCTAGAAGAAGACTTAGTAACAACAAACTCTTTGAAAGAATCAATCAATCAATCAATGACCTGAAGAAAGTGCAGATGGACAGGACACATGGTGAAGAGCCAATCGAGTGTGGCATAGCGCACTAGGCCACGCCCCGAGTGGGACATGGATGGGAAATGATGAGATTTGGGCATGAGTCCAAGAGTCACATGAACGACATGACAGTTTATAGGTAATCGTGGAGCCAGGAAATAAGCACTGCCGAGAACAGAGTGAAATAGAGACGCGCTACATTTCACTCGGAACCCAAGTGAATAATAATAATAATGACGATACTGAAGACCTCAAATTGAAGTATGCGCTGAAGATGTCACCTAGTAGGGTGATGAAAGCTTCGCAAATTAACCATCCAGCTTAGAGAACAAAACCACATCAAAAGACTAATTGCGCCTGAGAAGGAAATTGAAGCTTCATAATTGAACCTCATCCAGCTCAATGTACTCGTTTCAGCGATACATATACTAATTTTGATGTGGTTTTGTTCTCTAAGCTGGATGGTTAATTTGCGAAGCTTTCATCACCCTACTAGGTGACATCTTCAGCACATACTTCAATTCGAATTGAAGTGAGCTTTTAGATTTCTCCACAAGTTTATTAATCATCTCTCCCGATGTGGACCATGAATGTGATTGGTTATTTTTGTGTGTTTTCACACCTTCTAGGCAGCTACTTGTATTGGAACTGATTGTTTCTTTGACTTGAACTTTGACCCTTTGTGTGTGAAGTTTTTTTCTTATTGGTTGATAAATTTTGTCTATCTCTATGTGTCTATCGATTGATGATTTACTGGAATACCAAGCCTCTAAAAATTCTCTAGCATTCTTGTTGTTTCCTCTATCTAATATTTGAACGTTGTCCCAGTCGAATTGATGTCCGTGGTTGTCTGTATGTAGTGATATGAGTGGTGGAGTGGATATCATGTCTTTTGACGGTTAGCTTATGTTCATGGATACGAAGACGAAGGAGACGTCCACTTTGGCCAATGTAGTGTTTTTCGCAGTTGTTACAATTTATTTTGTAGATGATGTTGGTTTTGTCTTCTTTCGCTGTTGAGTCTTTTGGTTGACATAGAATTGAGTGAAGTGACTTTGTTGGTTTGTGTACGAAGTCAATTCCTAAAGGTTTGAAGAGTCTTGTAGTGATTTCTGAGATATCCTTTTATATGGTAAGGCGATTTTCTTTGTATTTTCCTTGGGGGCTTTTGGTTTGATAGGTTGGCTTGGGGGTATATGTCTTTTGATGAAATTCCGTGGATATCCATTCTTTTGGAAGACGTCCATGAGATATTTTTCTTCAATTTTCCTTAAGGTGGGAGTGCTGCAATGAGTCCTGGCTGGCCTTCTTGAAAAGTGTTTGTATGCAATTCCTTTTGTGTGTTATTGGGTTGTTGCTGTTGTAATTTAGGATTTGGTCTGTGTGAGTTGATTTCCTATAAACTTGAGTTTCTAACTCACCACCTGTGGTTGTTCGCTTGACTAAGACGTCCAAAAATGGTATTTTGTTCTATCATATACATATACTAAAATTGGAACAATACAATGACTCCTGAGCATGGATGATACACAAAATCTTGAAGCGTCTCATATATATTTTGGTGTCAGTGGTTCAGCGCAAGGAATGCTTATCGACGACACATGTGGTCAGTGGGGGGGGGGTTCGATGTCTCCGCTTGTAAACCAGGTGAAGATGAAAGGGGTTGGGGGCCTGAGACTAACACAACCCCACTCTGTAAAAAGTTCAGGTATAAAGCTATATATCCTACTGGGAACGCAAAGGAACAAAACAGTGAGCCCAGTGAACTCAACACACACACACACACACTACTAACAAATACCGAGTCATTTTTTATGGGTAAAATTCTCAACCAACTTGAGGCTTGAGGTTAACAATCCCAGCTCCAAAGAAGCGCAACAGCATGGCTACTAAAACTACAAAGCCCCGGTTTGAAGCCAATCGGGATGCAAAGGGATAGAAAATAAATTACCTCAGAGGAGACAAGACACACATACACTACAAATAAATAGCGAATTTTTAAAACAATTAGTTCCCTTTATGAATTTAGACACATCAATAAGAAGATGTAATTCGTCTGAATCGTGTAATGTTGTATTTGCGCAACACATTTCGAACAAACTTATCACACACACACACACACACACGAAGTTGTCATAGGAATATGTGTTGGAATCAATTAAGAGTTAAGAGGTGAGAAAATAGACTACTTCAGTCAAGTTAAAAGGACGACATATTGAAGGTCAAAATAACAATAAAGATCACTAAACCAAATAACAGAGGTAACAGTACATCTACCCTGACTGGTATCAAAACAAAATTTACCAACGAAGGTGGTTTAGTGTGATGACGAATTAATTTTTGAACACATAAAGATGGTGTGAATTTCCTAATTACTAGGACTTCCTCAAACTTTAGGGTACTCTCTCCTCCGAAACACGTTTTATAGATAGGTTTAAAAGATGTGTTAACGTCAATTTCATGTTCTGTCTCTATAATATATTTCACAATAGAAGAGTTAGGTCTCCTGTTCTCACCATTAATAGGTTCTGAAGATTTCATTTGCTTCTGGAGCCATTTAGGAATGTGCTCTGAAGTCAGCCTTTATTTGCAGAGATCGATGAGCCCTCCCTACGTATGTGCGTCCACGCGTACATTCAGATAGGTAAATACAATGAGAGGATGTGATATAATTTTTCACATGTTCAAAGAGCTTAGATGGATGGATATATTGGCTTCACATTCTCAATTATTACAATTTTAGCTGCATAAAAAGTCTTTTTAGCCATATCAGCGTTCAATCTTTGTCTAGTTATCAAGCTGCTACGATGCTCCACTCATATAGGGAAGCTTGATGTACACGTCTTTCTTAAGCGGGCGGGGGGTTGTAGAGTGGGTCTTGATGTTCCACTGACTACTTTATATCATCTCCTGATGAACTTGTCTGGATAACTGTTATCACAACCAGCTTTTGTATCAATTTTCTTTCGTCTTCATCCAGTGTGCCTTCAGTGGATATTCGTTCGATTCTACTGAAGAGGCACCTTGGTGACATGGCTCAAAATCGTTCTCAGTGGCGCAGATGCATCCACTACCTGTGACTTATGATCTTGAATGAAACTGTTTTGTATTTCTTTATTACTCCTTTGTCTCACACCTCTGCTCACTGTTTCTATTATGCTTTTCTTGTACTTTCTTCTCTTGCTTCGCGTGCTACACGGAATGTGGCGACTTGAACTTCCGCACATTTGTGCAAAGTTCTATGTCGAAAACAGACAGACAGAAGAGGCACCTCACTCACTAAAACTCTTTTGTACCGAATAGGACAGAAACTGTCCTGTCATGTCCAGGTAAGTTTTTTTCACATTTATTTTTCCTTAATTGAATGAAATTCTCAACCAACTTACCATAAATCCACGTGCTAATACTTTCGCCTCCAAACTGACATAGGCATCCACTAATCCAGCAGTTCCAGCCAATGGACTAGATCGAGGTAGACGTAACAAGCGGAGGGATAAACAGTTTGCACTATTAACAGTTGAACGACTACTCTTAATCGTAGAAGTAGGAGTAGTAGGAGTAGTATGATGTGATTTGTCTTGTTTTGATACAGCATAATTAGAACCAACTAATAAATCATCATGATAATGAATTTCCACAGAAGAAATCAAGGAGAAAGCTGTAGAATCAAAAACACACACAAAAAAGAAACGAATAAAAAGATCAATAATTACATAATTAAAGCCTTGGAATACTACTCTACTGAAAGTAGTGTATTAAAATATTCTCTCAACACACAACTCTGAATAGATGTGCACCAGTTCGACTTGCCACTCTCCCTCTTCATGTAACACACAAAACAAGAAAGGAGAGTAAAGACAAATAATAAAGAGAAGTATGACTAAGGGGAAACAGAGTAGTAGTAATATTGAGGAAAAAGAATACTAGAGTTTTATTGGATGCATCTCCAACAGCCAACACTGAAAATGAGAATTTTGAGCAATATCAACCGGTTGTCAAAAAACATAATTGGTTCTTACCATCCCGAAAACCCTGACCAGTCAGTCAGTCAGGAAGCCTACAACCTTATTCTGTAGTAACCGGTTGACTCGCCTGTCAAGTTTCTAACCCATATAGAAGAACTGACTGACTTAACATTTGTGTTGGGAAATCCAAACTTTTTATTATTTAGGCTGAGACCTAGTTTAGAAGATTCACAAACACTCATATTTCAGAGTGTTCAAGATCTTGTGTACTTTGCCTTTACAGGTCCTGACTGGTTTTAACATCTTCATCGGTAACGACTGCCGTCTATAGGTGAAAATAGGCTTTGCCTAATTTTACTATCCAGTCGTCTCAAGTCCCAGTGAAGAGGGGGACTGCGCACTGCCCTGAGGGGGTGGGGTGCTAGAGAACCTACCCTACCTCAGAAAATCAATCAAACAAACAGCTACAGAAACTTCAAAGCACAAGAAGAAAATTTCAAAAATATTGAAAACATGACAAAAAAGCGCTAACGATACTAAAACAATACATTATTACTGTTATTATTGTTTCCTTTTATTCCTAGAGGAACATACGGCTTCAGTCAAACGTCTCCATTGCATTCCCTTCTCTGCCAACGACTTCACTCCGCTCCAAGTCTCCCACATGCTTTCATCTCCTCTTCACATGACCTCCTCCATGTCACCCCACCCTCGCACTGACGACCAACTTGCTGCTTCCCATTCGGGTTCTACTCAAGCGATGGCCTGTCGTGTGATGTCACTTGATAGTTCGTTTTCTCAGAGTATGGCCAGCCAATCCATCTCCATTTCTTCCTGCATGCATATTTCTTGCACAATTGGTTCCGGCTAGGTTGGTTTGTTCATTGCCAGAGATCCCTGTTGCTGATCTCTTCTGGCCAGCCATCTGATCTTTAGTAGTATTGAGCGAAGACAGCTAGCTGTTGATGAAAGTCTTTAGTTTGTTTGAGGTGTGCTTTATGACGCGCCAAGTCACCTTCACACCGACTTGAAAGAAATGAAAGCTTGACTTGCTTTCCCCATCCTCGTTGCTTTAATATCCTCGTCAGTTCCGCATGTAGTTGAAACGATGCTTCTTTGACAATTATCCCACTTATGCTGGCTGATTGTTGTCTGTTGTTGTTACTCTACCTGTTGGCCAGGAATCTCCATCACCTCTGTTTTCTCTATGTTCACCTGAAGGAAGTCTTCTCTTTGATGCTTCTTCTGCCAACTTGTTGCTTGTCAATTGTATATCTTCCAGTTTGTGGGAAATCACACATAAACATATCATCGGGGAAGTCCAGATCCTCCAAGTTGATTTTGCGTTCCCTGCCCGCCAACTGTCTGTCTCATTATCCAGTCTACCGCTAACAATCAGAAAAATCATTGAAGATAGTAGGCAGCGAGCCAGTTAGCCAGACTTGTCTTACTCCCGTCTTCAATTCTTCGAAGACCACACTTCCCACAACAACAACACAACTTATACACAAAAAATAAAGCATAAGACCTTTTTTTATTGATTAAGAGAACGAGACAAAGAGAGAGAGAGAGAGAGAAATCAACCTACCAGGAATTTTATCTCGTTTAGTAGTATGCAGACTATTATGCTCAGATAATTTACTTGGTGTTAGCGTTGCCTTGAGATATGAAGACGACGGTAGACAGTAAGTTAATACATGACCTGCTGTTTCACACGGTGTTGATGGCTTATTAACAATACTATCCTCATCATCGATACTACTATATGGCGTTGTAGAAGTCGTTGTAATATGCCGAGAATGGTCATGATGATGATGATTATGGTGGTGGCCAAATAATGATTTTTTATGACTTGGCGTAGGGAATTTAAATCTTGTCGTTGGTTCATCCAGTTCACTATCATTACCATCAACACCACCGTGAAGAAGTGTTACTCCCCCACCACCAGTAGTAGTAGTAGTAGTTATACGTGGTGATTCATAGGCATGATGATTATGCATTGGTGTATCGGAACCTGTACGCATACAATAGATTTCTAATTGGAATTCAAAATTTGGTCGAAGTGGAACAATCTGTAACAGAAAAAAGTAAGCAAAATATCAAAGTCGAGTAATTTTAAAATATTAAAATAAATATGAAACAGACAAAAATAGTGGGGACATATAAGATACAAATGATCAGAAGACTTTAGAACATCTGGATTTCACGCGTGGATAATTTATGTCTAATATCACACAAACTGGAAGATTTACAGGCAGGCAGGCAGGGAAAACTAACACACTGGCTGAAGAGTCTGGGCAGCGAAAACAGCTGCAGGTGAACACAAAGAAGACGGAGGTGATGAAGATTAACCGTTCACCATGAATGGGAAAAAAATATAACACCGGTTATCTCCTACACTTATCTGGCCACAAAGCATCATTTCAACTACAGGCGGAACGACGAAAATGTCAAAACTAGCCAAAATCGGAATGGCAAGATGCGTCTTCACCAATCTGAAACCAGTTTGGAAACCTTCCGCTATCACTCAGCATAAGGAACAAGATTCGCATTTCAACACCAATGTGAAGTTGGTTCTTCTATAGAGAGGTCAGAAAACTTGCACTGTGTGTCACGACGCTAGTGATGACCGAAATTGGTGTACACCACCTTAGCTTTCACCATACGAATATAGATCTTATCTATCACACCTCGGTCAGCACTCACAAAACTACTCAGATACACGAACATGTCGACAATTTCAAGTAATTCACCTGAGAGAGTGAGCACGGGTACAGGCTCATGTCAATCTTGTAGCGCACAACATACTTACAGATACTGATCACCAACTGGCAAAGTGCGACTTAAGCAGCCGCACGCTATTTATCGCAAAGTAGGTTGATATCATCTGCATACTCAAGGTTGAAGAGTCTTTCTCCAAGAAGAAAGTTTACACCGCCACCATGCATGTCCAGAATGTTATCGATGGCAAAATTAAAGGGGAATGGAGAGATTGGGCAATCCCCTAGCTAACCCCACTGTTGGCTCTTGGGGAACAGTAGTGATGACAATGACAGCTGGATGCTGATATGCCCCCCCGTCTACTCTACCTGAGGTACTTTCTGTATACCTCACACTCACTCAGCTAGTGAGTAATCCTATAACAGAAACCTATAAGTTTTCTTAAGTCTTCTTATATGGCGAAAGAAAAATTAAATGAAAAATTATTTTGTTTGTTTGTTTGATTGATTGATTAGTTGATTGATTTTCAAATCAAACTCATACTCACCTCAAGTTTTGCTGGTAAGTCTACATAAGTGGCTGGTCGATACATTCCAACGGGGAGATCACTTATATGCATTAAAGTGACCAATTCACTATGATATAAACGACCTTCACCACGACATCTACAATTGAAGCAAACAAAATAAAGGTATGAAACGGGGAAATAAAGCAATACTTCTAAGATCAAACAATATCTAACAGCCACCTCCTTCAGGGTCAAATGTACATATACAGTACACGCAAACTGTTCACAAAAAAGATTTCCGCCTACACCTTCTTCATGCAGTTGAAGAGATGTGACAAATACAGAATTTCTGTTTTTACAGGATTCCATCATGAGCTGATAACAAAGTTAGAGAACCATCGGAAAACCTACAAGGAGTACTCTACAGTTATTTTTACCTATTTTGGGACCGACTCTTCAGCAGTACATACCCACTGCCGGGATTCGGACAATGGATCTTCTGGTTAAAAGGCTAGCTAGCGGCAGCTCGTAGACCATTAAACGACTGCGAGCCGATCCAATGACCAGTCCATGAATCCTAACTTCTATCATTTCACGCACGATATAGCGTGACCACTAGCCAATGTCACCGGCAAGTTACTGACATAGCGGACCCCTCTGGTTACGGCCTCTAACCAGGCGTCCAAGTAACTACCTACCTGTAACCAATCAAATCCCTGAGAAAAACAAAACTTGAATTTTAATCTGATGCTCACTAGCAATGGAGCCTATTCAGGTAGGCAGGTTCCACTCGGAACACCTACTGGAACAATAAATATAATAATAAATATAAATAATTTAATGCACAAAGTATACTGCCGTGGCTCAGATTCGGTCGTTTAGGGTATGCTGATAGGAATGAATGCCACTTAACAACTACTTGGATACAGCTGACAAGGAGAGCCGCCCCATGTCTACTGCGTGTGTGTGAGCACTCATAACACTGCTATCTGACCATCCAAACTCGACAGGTAGAGTGGGACTCGAACCCGTGACACAGTAGTTGGGAGTGGAGCACCTGAATCAATAAGCCACAGTTGACTATACTGGTAGACCTTAGAGCTAAGAATTCGGAGTCCGATGTCGGAATCCTGTTGTAACTTAGACCCCCACTTCACCTTCGATGGTTACCGAATAAATAAGGATCCGTCGGAGGCTTGGATACATGATGCGGCTGCCATCCTGGCTGCACCCAGGATAGGGTCAGAAAAACTAAAGCAGTCAGTCCAAGCCATAGTGCTATTGGTGTGATCCGAGGGATAATCATCAGCACGATGGCTCGATACACTATCATATGTTGCTGAGAATGGTATTCGAAGCCAAACAAGCTATAATTGCCTTTCTTCTTTCTCTTTCTGAAAGTAATATGAAATGATGAACACCGCTTAAAACTTAGACTTTCGGGTAGTGGACGCCAGGTTTCGAATCCGGCTCCACCTATTCTACCCAGTCTACTGAATAAAAGAGTATCATTAACTCCTAGGCATCAAGTGTAGCTAGTGGCTGAACATATGAGAAATCTGCAAAAGCTGTTTTTGTTTGGAAACTAGTCAGTAACTAGTGCAATGTGTGCCTAATCCTATCTTTGGTACAGACTTAATTCTATCAGCCATTAGGTGGCTCGCCATCACGGTGCACTTCGAATTATTGATATCAGATGGTTGAAGGCAATCGGAAGGATACCTTGGACTTAGGTTGCGTGCTAGCTGGTACTCATCAGTACGGTGTATCTACAACCTTGAAGAAACTCATATCCCATCTGAGATTTGAGGATGCAGATATACCTTGCTGATGAGTGCCAACTACCACACAGCCCTGGGGGTGGTCCAAGGCTTCCTGCCAACTGCCTCAACCATCTAATAACAACAAAAGTTGAAAAGAAGAAAGTGTTCATTTGCCTCCCATACAAAGGAGAAACAGTACCGCAAATGATTGAAAAGAGAATGAAAGAAGCAATAAAGAAATGCTTCCCTGGTGACAATATACAGTACTACATGCTCTATAAACCAATCGAAACTGGATAAGTACCCTGCTGATGTTACCTCCAACTGCATGTATAAATTACTCGCACCTGTGCGACAGCAAGTACATTGGAAGGACAGAAAAAGGGCTTCTATCCGCTGTTTCAAAGCATATTCCAAGAAACTTATGCTTAATAGGAAGCAATATTTACAAAGTGCAATTACCAGACACCCAACATGTGGATACGGATCATTTTGTCGAGATTTCGAATCCTTCAAAATATTAAGCATACAAACGACAATGAGTCTACTACGATTTGCTGAAGCATTTGAAATCACAACTTCATCGATTGATTTCCCCTCCTAACCTAGCACTCGACCGATGCCTAACTTCAATATTGCTCACCTTATTATGCCACTTCACACGGGAAACAGAACGCAGGCACCTATGATCAAAGACAGCTAATCTTTTCATGTCTTCCACTCTCAGTGGCCGCGTCTCACAGCCATAAAAGAGGACGGAGCGGACTGATGAGCAGTACACCCACTCTTTGGTCGATAGCCACCCGGATATCACGTCTACGCCAGATACGGTGTAAACTGGCAAGCACATTCGAAACAAGCCCTCTTTATCCGTACTCAGCTCAGATTTCGTCAGAGATCATCCGTTGGCACTGGCTGATGCAACTTCCCAAATAAGTGAAGTGGTCAACGTGCTCTACCACTTCACTTCCTATTTCTAATCTAGGAGTCGGTGTAGTCATCGGTGTAACATCATCTGGCATTTGGCGGGAGCGAATCGCATGCCAAATATTCGCAGGTTCCAGCTGAAGGCGTTTAAAAGACTCTGCATTTTGTCAGTATCATCGCCTAGAAGGATTATATTGTCTGCATATTCTAAATCAACGGGATTATACCCTGGTAGCAAGTCAATCCTTGTGTCTGTGAAGTGAGTTAGGGTTAAGTCCATTAGTACATCTATGATGAAGTTGAATAGAAATGGGGATAAGCCAAAAACACTGTGGAACTCACTTGATTATAGCTATTAAATAATAACATGTCGGTTGACCCAGATGATGATTATCCCCACGTGATTTTGAACTTGGTGTAGCACCACGCCAAACACTACCACTGTATAGCAAATCCGGATCGACAACAACAAATCCTCCCCCACTAGTTGGATCATTTGGTATATTCGATGTTTTCAAGGATAAACGAATAGCGCTCAGCTTCATACGTGCACGTATTGGATCACCAGTAGGCGGTGGGACAAGTACTGGTGAACCTTGATGGAGTAGAGCGAGTTCCTCCATGAGCACTTGACGACGTTGACCTAAGAAAGACAAAAAAGGGGAAAAAGAATATAGTTCAATTCTTTATTAAACTTTAAGGGAGGACAAAGCAGAAGAGCAGCAACAGCCCATGTCTTCACAGTAAGAGAATCTCAAGTTTCATACAGAAGACCTTCTGTCTCAGTAGCAGCTATAAAGGTAACACACAACCAGTCAACCACTTAGGGAGGTGTAGACTTCCTAACTGACTGGTTAGGGTCCTCGGGATGATGGTAAGAATCAAAGGCAATACCTGGAGGCAATCGGAGATATGGTTCAAAATCCTCGTTCTTAAAGAATAGTGCAGATGCATCCCCCCCACCCCCAATAAAACTCGTTTGTTCTTCTATATTACTACTATTCTGTCTCCTTTACTCACAACTTCTATTTATTATCTCTGTTTTGAATATCTTAACTCTCTTTTGGCTTTCTTTAAGTGTAGCAGCTGGAACTGAGGTACACAGGTGTGCAAAGTTCTATGTTGAAACCAGTCGGTCAGTCAGTCATAATTGTAATAAACTAAGTTTGTTTAGCTTTCCTAGGATATTGAAGGTGACAAGCGACAGATACGCTCATTGGACAGATGGATGTACACATATATACAGACATTGCATAGATTTTATACTTTCAGACACAGACGCGATTTGCATATACTGGGTCGCCTTCATGATTCATTCTCATATCATGAAGTGCATTAAAATTTGAACTAATTTGTATTTGTAAATATTTTGGAAAAAGTCTTTCCTCTCGTTGTACCTGATAGTCCTTGATCATGTTGATTCTCTGGAAATAATACTTCGTCTAACCCACACTGGAATAATACTAGTGTGGTGAGAGCTGGCTGTCAGCCAAAACTGGTAGACAGTAATTTACGTCAATGTTTACATCCTCAATATTGGTCGTGAGAAAAATAAGAACAAAAACTAATTCAACAACCAATCACAGCAAACTTTGCGTAGGCGGATACAGTTAGAATACATAGATGATCTGGCATTCAAGAAACAGTCACAAAGAGATGAGAGATGAACTTTCAGTGAGAAACCACCAATCAGAAGGCTGTGTTTGTTTGCTTAAATAATCTATAATAATGTACATGAAAATCTATAAATACGTGTTGATTTCCTAAATAAACGATATGTTGTCTGACCTTTGTCTTCTGTTGTTACACTTGTACCACTCACTGCCTATTTTTACTATTATTCGTTATTATTTGATTTCTTTCCGTTCAGAGTGGAACATAGGACTTCAACAAGTTTGAACTTTGAAGTTTTAGTAGGAGAGATGTTTTTTATAGGGTGAGGTTGCCAACCTCACGCCTTTACTCTCTTGATAGGATCCAGCATAAAATAGAGTATTATCAACATCCTTTCTCAGGAATCGATCGTATGATTCACCTTGTGATGGGGTTATACTATGTGAATGTATCATCATTTCTCACGCATATTTAGTGTGTGTGTGTGAGAGAGATCAATTCAAATCGTCTTTTTTCTCAATCTCGGTCTTTGTCGGATCACTAACCAATCAGAATAGACATTTCCAGTCAAGTAAGAACAGTCCATTAACACGTCTGTGAGCCGACTTTATTGTAGTAAAGAAAATGTATAAATATCATGTGTTGTTTCTCAAACTATGTAATATGGTAGACAGGCAAGACAGCCTTTGTCTTTTGATATTTGCGTAGCTCAGTGAATCGGAAGGTACAACGGACAAATAGACGTACAAGAGTAACAGTCGAGTTCATTCCCGTTTTAGTAATTAACAGGCGCATACATAACAAATTAGTGACAGATTTATTCAGTTCAGTTATAACAAAGTGGCAACGGAGTTACAGCGCTACCCTCTTCACCACGCCGACGAAGGGTAGAACAGGAGAGAGTTGGAGGCCCCGAACGATAGATGCTACTCTGACGTGGTGCTCGGGTTTGCATATCGCAATCACCCAACAAGCTACACCGGCTGGAGCTAATGTTCCTGAAGGGCCTACCATGCCAGGAAGATTGTTAGGATAGCGATTAGACTGAAAGCAGTTACCGACATTGTGCAAGAATCTTTCTTACACTAAGCTGGGGGTCTGAGGCGAAGTCATGCTACTGGAAAAAAGGAATGTAACAGCAGTGAGATGTTTCCCTCAGATAATCAGCATGCCAGCTATGCTGTCTCTCTCCACTTTGGAGAGAAGGTGTTAGCAAGGGTCGACCCCCAGATTGTACAGTCTGACTTACCCCTACGGTGGACCATAGCCGGCGGTAAGTTAATAATACAGAATCAAACCTAAAAGCCATTTCAAACGGGCCGTGTGTGACCGGTCTCAAGCAGTTTTCCCCCCCTGGGACTCTGAGGTTACACAACATTAATTCTCTCTCTGTTTCAGGTACCCCAGTCAGTCAGAGTCATATGTCTAGGATCGAACCTCGGCACATGGAGGCGTCGTTGGCGAGTATTCTAACGCATAAAAACCGACGCAAAGTCTTTTTATCACTCCTACCTTAATCTTTTATGGGGCATTTCAAAAAGGTTTCATTATTCGAAATTCCCTCCCCCCCCCCTCCTCTTCCATCTCTTTCGATAGGAATGTCATAAAAAACCTTTTTGGCTCGTACGCCTAAATATATACAAAATCAACGACATCATTTCACTTGGCAAACATTCTCTATGAGATGAAAATACTCCATTACTGAGAAACAGTTAACAAACGGCTCCTTTTACTCTCCATTTCATGAATATACCGTTGTAACAACAGAAGACAAGGGCCGGCAACAGCTCGTTTTATTACGGAAATCAACACGTATTTATATATATTTCCTGTACATTATTATAGCTTATTCAAGTAGACAAACGCAGTCTTCTGATTGGTTGTTTCGGGTAACCTCGGAAAGTGGAGCCATATATCTGCGAATCATATTTGCCCACGTTAAGTCTGCTGTGATTAATTGTTGAATCAGCCTTGTTCATATTTTCTCGCGGCCAATATTAGTGACCTACACATCGACGTAAATTAATGTCTACCAATTGGCTAGCAGCCTGCTCTCACCATACTCGTCCCCCCGTCAAAGACTTGTGACTTCTAGTATGTTGCGGTGAAGTGAAAGTTACACGCGATATAGAAACAACCAATATATGCTGAGAATTTTACACGGAATCCATGAAGTCAACATTATTCAACTGTTGGTTTGCAGGGATTTGATTTGACTGATTACAGAATTCCATCATGATGAACCATCGCCTTCCTCGACAATAGGCAGTTATAGCTGACTGACATGGGATTGATCAGGTTGGAAAAGAGCTAGTTCGTGGTAGTCAAACCAAAACATAGCTTCATCAGTAAATGAAATCTACAACAGTTACTTTAAGCCAAGTAGGAAGGTGCAGACTTCCTGACTGACTGGTTGGGGTCCTCGGGACGGTAAAAATCATTGAAGGCTGGAGACAATTGGTGATACGGTTGGCTCGAAATCCTCGTACTCAATAGCTGGCGAAGATGCATCCACTCCTTTTGACTTATAATACCCAATAGAACTATATTATTCTTCCATATTACTATTCTTTTGCCTCATATCTCTGTTTATGGTCACTACTTGTCATTTCTTTTTACTTTCTTCTCTGGCCTTGTGTGGAACAGAGGGAGAGTGGAGACTCGAACTGCTGCACATCGGTGCAACGTTCTAGGTTGAATCCAGACAGTCAGTCAGTGACATCAGCGTTAGAGAACCACTGGAAATTGTGCAGGCAATACTACATAACCAGCTGTTCCATCAGCCTAGTTTGGAACCAACTCTCCAGGAGTACGCACCCGCCTCCGAGGTCCGAACCCAGGACCTTCTGGTCACAAGGATAGCCAGCTTGTACATCATAAAGCCACAGAGACCCGATCCTGTGACTGGTGCATGAATGCCAACTTCTGACAATTCACGATTTAGCGCAACCGATAGCCAATGTCCTTGCTCGGTGAGTATTTGTTCTAACACCCGACCTGCTGCACCCTACCGGGCACCACTTCTCACTAGAACCTAGGTGACTACCTATCTGGATAGGATCAGTCACTGGTGGGCATCAGATTAATATTCAAGTCTTGGTTTGCAGGGATTTGATTTGATTACAGGATCCCATTATGAGCTGACGTCGGTTATCATTACCATTACTTAACATGCATACAAAATAAGGATAAAAAAAGAGACTTACAAGCAATGAGCATTGTTTTACTAACTTCCACGTGAACACGAGAACCAGGGCCAAGTTGACGACGAAGTCTACTGATATCTTCTGAAGATGCCTTTTTAGACATAATACCAACACATTGTTTCAATGCAGAACTTGCCTGTAGAATAACAGCACGTTCAGCTTGTATTAATTTAGGCAGCTCTTTCATTCTCTGTAAACGACGCTCAGCTTCACATAATGGTAAGACAGGTGACATACGACTTTTTACTATATTTAGAATAGAAACAAAACAAATAAATCATACGAGCAAAAAATTACGTAACAGGTAGATGAGAGAACCAAGTTAAACTACAAGTGGATATAATTATAAGGACAGCCAATACACGTCAAGACTACTAGGAGAGGTAAATATATATTCCATCTATTATTGTACCATTAGATTCCAACCGAAATATAGGAGGGGGTTCAACAGCACATCTCCACTTTGTCTCAATTTCTGTGGTCCTCTTTAGCTGACCCCACAATTGTCCATAGTCTCTCATCTACTCCTCACACGACCGCTTCTATGTGTTATCATCGGGCAAATCCCAACTCTTCGTTTCCCATTCACCTTCCACTCGTGCCATGGCCTGGCGTTTGATGTTATTCGACGGTCTTCCCAGTGTGTGTCTGACCCATCTCCACTTCTTTTTTGGGATTTTAATTGAGTGATAGTCTTTGACTGGTTTGTTCCAAGAGTTTTTTTTGTTGCTAGCTCTTTCCAGTCAGTCATTTGGCCTTCAATATGGAGTCAGAGAAAGCAGCAGTTGATAAAAGTCAGAAACATGTGTGGAAACGCTTTCTGTGATGCGTTTCCTCAAGTTTCTGAACAATATGGAAGTAGTGACTGACTTCAGATCTCCACATCGATTTTCAGACCGATGAAGGTGTATTTTACCTTTTCTTATCCCAGTTTTCACGACCTAATTTATGCCACCCGTAGTTGTAACAATGCTTCCTAGATTTTTGAAGGAATTAATTTCTTTCAAATTTGTTCCACTGATAGAGTGATTGTCTGTCTGTTTTCGACATAGAACTTTGCACAAATGTGCGGAAGTTCAAGTCGCCACACTCCGTGTAGCACGCGAAGCAAGAGAAGAAGAAAGTAGAAGAAAAGCATAACAGAGACAGTGAGCAGAGGTGTGAGACAAAGGAAGAGTAATAACGAAGAACGAAACAGTTTCATTGGAAATCATAAGTCACAAGGAGTGGATGCATCTGCGCCACTGAGAACGATTTTGAGCCATGTCACCAATTGTTTCCAACCATAGATTTTTACCGTCCCGAGGACCCCAGCTGGAAGTCTACACCTTCCTACGTGGCTTAGACCAACTGTTGTAGATTTCATTGACTGGTAAGGCCAAGTTTTTGTTTGACCACCGCTAGCTTTTTTCCAGCCTGACCCTATATCTGCTAACATTGCTCACTGTCGAGGGAGGTGATGACTAGGCATACATGCGTAACACATGTCCTAACCATCTCAGTCTTTGTAGCTTCACGACTTCGTCGATTGATTTCCCCTGTTTACATAGAACTCGACCGACGCCTAACCTCCATGTTGCTCACCTTATTATGCCAGAGTGATTGCTGCTGGTTGTTGCTGATGTTGTTTATCTGCATCACCTCCGTCTTCTCTATGTCCACCTGGGGTCCTATCTTCACTGCCTTTCTGCCAGTTTGTTGGTTGGGTTTTCACCGCCTCCAGGACCCCAACCAGGAATCTACATCTTACTACGTGGCCGGCTTACACTAACTGTTATAGATTTGATTGACTGATGAAGCCATGTTTTGGTTTCTCCACCCACCAATAAATTTCTGTTTCGCAATCTGAACCCATGTCAACTAGCATTGCCCGTCGAGGAAGGCGATAACTCGGCATGCATACATAACACATGCCCTAACCATCTCAGTCGACGCAGCTTCACAACCTCGTCTATTGTTTTCCCTCCTTTACCTAGCACTCGACTGAAACCTAACCTCAATATTGCTCACCCTATTACACCTACCATTTCACACGGGAGATAAAACTCAGACACCTGTGATCAAAAACAGCCACCCGGCTTTTCATATCCGTCACTCTCAATGGCCAGGTCATAGAGGATAACGGAGCGGACTGCTGAGCAGTACAAACGTCCTTTGGTAGACAGCCAGCCAGATATCACGTCTACGACAAAGATGGCGTAAACTGGCATATTCAGAACGAGCCTTGTGTATCCATGCTGAAATTTCGTCAGCGATTAACCCGTTGGCATTGGCTGATGCAACTTCCCAAATAAGTGAAGTAGTCAACGCCCTCCACCAACCACTTCACTGCCTCCCTATTTCTAAGCTAGGAGTCAATGTAGTCCAGTCAGTCCTGTAGCATCATCCTACATTTGACCACCTCCAACTCTTTCCTAAGCTAAACCGTATACCAGCTATCATTGCTTATGAAGAAAGATGGATGCCTCGGAGTAGGAATACATATCCGAGCTATTTCACAATCTATACAGCCTGCATAACCACCTTACCATCCACTAATTTTCCCTCCTTTTCTAACACTCCACACACCACCAAACCTCAATATTGCCATATACAACACGGGATACAGATCACAAACAACATAGGTGGTCAAAGATAACAAGCTTTAGTCATATCTCACCCACCTCCAATGATCATGATGAAGGAAAGTCAAGAATTAGTAGATTTATTCTAAGACTTTTGAATATAGAGAAGACAGATGCGATAAAGATAACTAACTAACTAACCAACCAACTAACAACAACAACAGCAACCAGTGACAACCGCCATAACAATAACAGCTTTACTCTCATCTCGACAGAGTACCTTAGGTACATGTATATATGACAGTTTAGCAGTAATAGGATCTCACTTTCTCATTACGGGCGGGAGGGGGAGAATAATTAAAACACGGCACTTACATTAATAATACTATTCACTAGGAAAATGAACATAAAATTAAACCATCAAATGGAAATATATTAGCGACAATGTAATGAATAATGAGAACAAAACAAAAACAAATAAAAAATACCGTTTAACTTAGAGTCTCTCAATCTCAGTTAAATCGGCAATTTCCTGTCTTACACACTTTTTCTCATCACATAAAATGTGTGTTTGCCTGCTCTGCCAAATAAGTTTTTGTGGAGCTTTTTTGTATTTAGTCATCCAAGCATTCAGTCTTCTATAGTTGCTTCCAGTTCTAACCTACCTAATGAGATGCGGCAAGGAGAGAGGGAGTTTTGTATGGAGAGGATGTTCAGAGTCTGATAGGATAATATTTGCACATTTCTTGTAGGAATCCAAGTATCTATCTACAAATATGGCACCAGTCAATGAAATCTACAACAGTTAGTCTAAGTCACGTAGGAAGGTGTAGACTTCCCGACTGGTTGGGGTCCTTGGGATGGTAAAAACAAATGAAGGCTGGAAACAATTGGTAATAATATGGCTCAAAATCGTTCTCAATGGCTGGTTGGCGCAGATGGATCCAGTCCTTGTGACTCATAATACTCAATGGAACTATATTGTTCTTCGTTATTACTTTTCCTTTGTCTCACACTTCTGTTTACTGTCTCTACTATGCATTTCTTCTACTCTTTTCTCTTGCTTTGTGTGCTATAAGGAGGGAGTGTGGCGAGTCGAACTGGTGCACATATGTGCAAAGTTCTGTGTTGAAAACAGACAGACAGACTATCTAAAATAGTATTAACGAGTTGGATTAGAGATACCCCACTCGTCCACCCTACTACTGACGGCTTTTAGTGCCCACCTCAGTACAACAAAAGTCTTCCGTAAGTAGCTCGGTAAGGAGTAAGGTGAGGAGAGTAGTAAAGAAGGATAGTCAAAATACCGCAAGAATTAACAAACGTTGACACTACAGTAAGAGGAATGACACAAGATCGTCTCAACCTCTTAACGCAGAACATTAAACGAAATATCTTTTTGGAAACTAATATTATTATTATTTCCAAGTATTGGTTTTTTAGGGATTTTTGTTTGATTGCATGGAGGGTTTCATCATGATCAGCTGACATCAGTTAGAGAACCATTGGAAAACCAGCTGGGAGTACAGGACAGCTGTTTAGTCCTAGTTTGGGTCTCTTCATCAGTACGCCCCCTCCACCAGGACCCTCTGGTTACAAGGCCAGCTAGCTCGTAGACCGCCAAGCCACTGGGACCCGATCCAATGTCCAGTCCATGAATTCTAACTTCTATCAATCCACAACATAGCGCGACCATTTCACAATGTCTTCTTCAATGAGTTACTGCCTCATCTTCAACCTGCTGTACCCTACTGGTCACGGCTTCCCACTAGATCCCCACTTGGACCAGGTCCCAGCGGCTCAATGGTCTACGAGCTAGCTCGCCTTGTAACCAGAAGGTCATGGGTTCGAACCCTGGTGGTAGGTGCGTACTTCCGAAGAGTCACAAGATAGGACGAAACTGCTGTCCAGTACTCCCAGGTTTTCCAATGGTTCTCTAAATGATATCAGCTAATTATTATTATTAATATCAGCAGAGTAAATTTGAAAGAGATTATTTCCTTCACTTATCTGGAAAACATTGTTTCAACTACAGTTGGGATGAATAAAGATGTCGAAGACAGAATCAGAAAGACAAGATAAAACCTCATGAGTCTGAAATCAATTTGAAAATCTTCTGCCCTCCGCCAGCATAAAGAAGAAGATCCGGATTTTCAACGCCAACATTAAGTCTGTCAGTTCTTCTATGTGGGTCAGAAACTTGGGCGACGCGTCACGAAAATTATTTCGAACAGACTAACTGGAGACTTTTATCAACAACTGCTGCCTTTGCTGACTCCTTAATTGAAAATCAAATGACTGGCCAGAAAGAATTAGCAGCAAAAGACTATGGGAACAAATCAACCAACGACCTGTTGTCGAATAAACATATATGTAGAAGAGAATGGAGATAGGTTAGACACACACTGAGAAGACCGTCGAATGACATAAGACGCTAGATCATCGCTCGAATGGAAGGTGAATAGGAAATGACGAGGGTGGCATGGCACAGATCGTGTGGATGGAAGAAATGAGAGATTATGGGCAGTCGTGAATTCAGTTAAACATCTTGTTCTTATTTATTATAAATGAACTGAACTCTCATCGGCTGGACTGTATGACAAATCAGCTGTGGTCTTCTATCATCTAAAAAATGAGAACATGAGATGCAGGATAAAACTCAACAATTCACAGGTTGACCGCTACAGCACAAACAAAGGAAACGAAGGAAGGCAAGGCGTTACTCACGACAGCCACTTTCATTTCCATACAGATGCTGATGAGTTGTGTACACACACAGGTGCTTGCCTGTCTAAATGAAACTCCATCAGGTGGAAAAAAGGGTTTCGAACTCTAGAGCCAAAGTATCGATCTTGTTGCTTGGAATTCAAATGAATGCCACTACCAATCACTGGTTTAAGCATAGAACTTTCCACAAACGTGCAGCAGTTCAACTCGTCACTCTCCTTCCATATACCACACAAAGCAAAAGAAGAGAGTAACCAGAGATTCAAAAGAAAGATAATAAATAGAAGTGTAAGTGAAACAGAATGGTAGTAAAATAGAAGGACAAAATAGTTTTATTGGATATTAATATCGAATCACACAGAATGAGTGAATGCATCTGTACCATTGAGGACGAGGATTTTGAGCCATATCTCCCATTGTCTCCAACTTCATTGGTTCCCCCCCCCAACCCCATCCCGAGGACGCCAACCAGTCAGTCAGGAAGTCTACACATTCTTACTTGACTGGCTGCTTGGCTCAAACTAAATGTTATGGATTTATTGACTGATGAAGCCATGTTCTGATAAATTCTGAGTCAGCTAACATTGTCCGTCGTCAAGAAAGGTGAAGGCTAGGCAAGCATTCATAACACATATTGTGACTATCTCAATGTAACTTCATAATATCGTCGATTGATTTACCCTCCTCCTTACCTATCACTCGACCGACGTCTAACTTCAATATTACCCACCCTATTATACCACCCAACATAGGAGATAGAACGCAGATACCTACGATCAAAGACAGTTAGCTTTTTCGTATCTTCCACTTTCAATGGCCACGTGTCCCTCACAGCCATAAAGGAGGAAAGAGTGGACTACTGGAACAGTACACACACCCATTGGTCGACAGTCAGACGGATATCACGTCTACTAAGCCAGAGAGATGGCTTGTTGAGATTTCGTCAGCAATCAACCCGATGGAGTTGGCGCTGATGCAACTCGCTAAATAAGTGGATTGGTCATCAACAGGCTCCACCAACCACTTCACTCCCTCCCTATCTTCAAGTTAGGAGCCAATGTAGTCCAGTCCAGTCATGTAGCCTCATCATATTACATTTGACAAGGCGAGTGAATCGCATGCCAAACATTCGAAGATTATATTTATCGCTCGCATATTCTAAGTCAACGAGATTATTCTTTCATTGGTAACAAGTCAATCCCTGAGTCGATGAAGTCAGTTGTAGTTAAGCCTATTAGTGCGTACATCTATAATGAAATTAAACAGAAATGAAGACAATAGTGGGCATCTCTGACTGTGGACACCACTGGAGTTGTCAGTCATCAATAAACCGCACTGCTGGCTGTGTCTAGTGTGCCCCCCCTCCCACCTGTTTTATTATCATATGACTTAATAAGCATTCACAATAGCCTAATATTATGAACGCAAAATAAGTGTAGGACTTACTCAGCAAATCAGTATCATCTTTGGCAAAATGTGTTCGATTATAATTTTCTTTATTATTATCATGATCTAACGAAGATGAATAACTTGTTGAATCACTGCCAAAATCATTAAGAATACTATTTATCGAGGGATCATATACGTCTGAATCAATTTCACCTAGAAAAAGGGAATAAAAGCAAAATAAGGAACACCCATGTTACCTTTTTAAAGTTTTTCTTAATCCGTCCACTATTTACACTACCATATTTTCATATCCGAACTTCGTGTTTATTTTGTCATTTTACTATTTCTACATATTTAATTAATACCTGTTTGCATAAACAGTTATTCATCATATCAGTTTTTATCCAAACATCCTGTCTATTGTTGTTATTTCTACATTTCTAACCTTTAATTGCACAATGTCAATCTTCTTAGTTATTATGATGCTACTTTGTTTGAGTTTTATCCGTCCCGTCCCCCCACCTTGTTTATTATGGCATTTTAATTTCTAATTGTAATTTTTATTAAATTTGACCCTTAACCGGAAATTATTCTGGAACTTTCCCATCCATTTGATACAAATACACGAATGTACAGTCTAGAATGATGACTTCCTCGAAAAGAAACTTTTCTTCTCTGCAACTATCTTTTTAATAATAATAATAAATAATTTTAAATATTTGTACTACTATTATCATGGTTATAATGTATAATTATGTAGTGCGCTTCTTAATTTCAGCATCATAACAAAAGTAGAAGGGTAGGTGCGGATGTTCACCACTGGTCACTAAACTCGTGGACATGGAGGGTGTTGTCTGAGCTAGCTGGATGGTAGTTTATTTGAGAAGCTTTCACTGCCCTACTTACTAGACAACATCTTCAGCGCATGACTTTAATTTGTTGAAGTGAGCTTTTAGATTTCTCCACGAGTTCACCATTAGTCATCTCTCCCAGTGAGTGATCTTCAAGCGTGACTGGTTGTTTTTTTTGTGTTTTTTCACACCCTCTAAGCTACTTTTATTGGTATTGATAGTTTCCTTGACCTGAAGTTTGACCCTTTGTGTGTGAGATTTCTTTCCTTCTTATCGGTTGGTACATTTTGTCTATCCCCCAACGTGTCTATTGATTGACGATTCACTGGAATACCAGGCAGTCTTCTAAAAAATTCCCTAGTATTCTTGGTGTTTCCTCTGTCTTATATTTAAACGTTGGTTTTCCGAGTCAAATTGATGTCCGTGGTTGTCTGTATGCAGCGATACAAAGGAAGTGGATGTCATCATGTTTTTTGACGGCTAGTTTATGTTCATAAATGCGAAGAAGACGAAGGGGACATCATCCACTTTGGCCAATCTAGTTTTTACAATTTATTATGTAATTGATGTTGGTTTTATCTTCTTTCACTGTTGAGTCTTTTGGTTGACATAGAGCTGCCTGGCTGTCTGAGTGAAGTGATTTTGTTGATTTGTGTACGACATCAATTCCTAGAAGTTTGAAGAGTATTGCAGTCATTTCTGAGATGTCCTTTACATATGGTAATGCGATTTTCCTTGTGCTTTCCTTGGGGGCCTTTGATTTGGCAGGTTGGTTTGCTTGGGGTTATATGTTAATATAAGAATAAAACTTGTGCACTGTGGTAGAGTGTAATTCCATTATGAGTAAACATTACTGTATAACACTGGGGTTATATGTCTTTTGATGAAATTCCGTGGATATCCATCGATTCTTTTGGAAGACGTCCATGACATATCTTTCTTCAATTTTCCTTAAGGTGGGAGTGCTGCAATGAGTCCTGGCTAGCCCTCTTGAATAGTCTTCGTATACAATTCCTTTTGTGTGTTATTGGATTGTTGCTGTTGTCATTGAGTATTTATTTCGTGTGAGTCCATTTTCTATAACCTTGAGTTTCTAATTCCCTTGTGGTTGTTCGCTTGACTAAGACGTCCAAAAATGGTATTTTGTTCTCGGATTCCTCTTCTCTTGTGAATTTGATGTCGCTGAAGACGTTGCTTATTAAGTTGTGAGTTTTATCCCCAACTCGTTTCTTTTGACTATTGTAAATATGTCATCTACATAATGCTAACGCACTCCTTTACCTCAACTAAGCCAGTAATAAAACCGGTAAAGAGGAAAGGTTGGGCCAGGTAAGGCTAGCAACCCCATCTTGTAAAAATAAACACTGCTACAGAAACCTCAAGCCTCTAGCTCGAAGCCCCATATGTTCCACTGGGAACGTGAAGAAATGAAATATATATATATATAACCCGATCAAATAGGGTCACATGGGCGATTTCATCATGAGCTGACATCAGTTAGAGAACCACTGGAAAATTAGCTGGGAGTACTGGACAGTTGTTTCGTCCTGGTTTGGGACTCTTCATCAGTATGCACCCACCGGGGTTCGAACCCAGGACCTTCTGGTTACAAGGCGACTTCATAGACCATTGAGCGTACTGCTGGAGAGTCCCAAGCTAGGCTGACGAAACGGCTGTCCAGTACTCCAAGCTAATTTTCCAGTGGTTCTCTATATGATGTCAGCTGATCATGATGAAATCCTCCATGCAATCAAACAAATCCCTACAAAAACAAATGGGGTTATAGGACTTAAGGCAGTATCTTCCTAAACTGCCTGTCTACCCTCCCCTCACCCGCTTCTTCGATTCTATGGTAATCTACTCTACCCTATTCTATTCTACTTACCATCAGGATCCAATCCCAATTTATGCATTGCTGATAAGTAAACAGACAGACTGGATGAAACACGTTGGGTACTCTCGTCTGTACTTGCATCATCATCATCACAAGTGAAGTCAGTACCATCATTACTTGTATCATCTATTATCATCTTGATCATATCAGAAGTAGTTGTAATGGTACCAGTAGTTGTTGTAGGACTTTGAAGAAATTTCACCGATTTTTGTCGAGGAATCTGTTGACGTATATTATCCACTGAACTTTCGGATAGAGATGAACGACGTTTAATGCCCATTTTTGGTCGTGAATAATATGGATGTCTATTTTGTAGAATAAGAGGAACAGCTAAACGAGAGAAAAAGAGAGGGGGAGACAGGGGTAATAGGAATGCATACAATTGAGACTATATATATATATATATATATATATATGAAAAACAAATAAATAGCAGTTTGTGCACATAATGACTGATAATAAACACACATTTCTAAGCGAATAAATTTAACTGGAAATACGTGAGGACGGGAGTGAGGCAAGGCTGGCTGGCTGTCTACTATCGCCAAAGATTTTCTTGATTGCAGATAGACAGCGGCGGGAAATGAGGAAATAGGCATAAAATGGACTCACACAAAATCAACTTGGAGGATCTGAACTTCACCGATGTCATATATATGTGTCTGATCTCCCTCATATTGGAAGATATGCAAGTGAAAAGCAACAAGTTGGCAGAAAAAGCATCCAGAGAAGAAAGGACTTCAAGTGAACACAGAGAAAACAGAGGTAGGTGATGAAGATTCCTAGCCAACAACAACAAAGACAACAATCAGCCTTCATTAATGGCAGGAACCTGAAAGAAGCGACCTCCTTTACCTACCTGCCTAGCTGGGAAGCATCGTCTCAACTGCAGGCGGACGGAACTGACGAGGATATCAAAGCCAGAATCGGAAAAGCAAGACAAGCTTTCATTACTCTCACCAAGTCTGTGTGGAGGTCAACAGCACTCAGCATCAATTGAAAATAAGATCCGGATTTTCAAATCAAATGTGAAGTCAGTGCTACTTACTACACGGATCAGAGACTTGGCCAGCGCGTCATAAACAGCATCTCAAACACACTTCAAACCTTCACTAACAGTTGTCTTCGCTCAATACTCAAGATCAGATGGCCAGTCAGAAATGATCAGCAACAGGGATCTCTGGGAGCGAAGCAATCAGGAGCCGATTGTGAAACAAATAGGCAGGAAGAAATGGAGATGGATTTGCTAGCCATACTCTGATAAAACAAACCATCAACTGACGTCACTAGACAAGCCATTGCTCGAGTGGAACCTGAAAGGGAAGCGGTGAGTTGGTCGTCAATGCGAGGGTGGGGTGACGTGGAGGGGTCATGTGAAGGGGAGATGAAAGCAATGTGAGTAGACTTAGAGCGGGGAGAAAACGTTAGCAGAAAACCGAAGGCAATGGAAACGCGCGGCTGAAGCCCTATGTTCCTCTAGGAATTAAAGGAAATAATAAATAATAATAATACTGGTTTTATCAATTAACTACTGACTGATCGAAAACACCACCTTGCCTAGTTAACTAGCCGGTCTGAATTATTAAAATATGTGTAAAACTAGGGGGCACTGTGGTAGTAAGTAATTCCATATTAATTTGTTTATTGGATGTATCACACAGTGAAAAAGGATTATTTACTGGACGACACAGTTTCGAACACAGTCCATTATTGTTCATAATCATATCGTCAATAATAACCACACGACTTAGAAACTTGAGTTTTATGAGTTTTTTTGCCTTCTCCTATTTGTCTTCGTTGGGGTGGTAGTAGAATTTTCCAGATATCTGGGTGAACAGGTGTTGAATCATTCCTATGATACGTATTTGCAGTTGATTCCATAAACAAAGCTTCTGTTATTAATCTCTTCCCCCAATTCTCCTGTTACATTAGATTGTGAAACTGTCATCTTATTGTATGGCTGGTTGTGTGTAATTGCATGTAGTGAGTGCTATAGCTGAACTATTCTCTAGATTTCTTAATTTTATGTTCGACTAGTCTAACTGCCCCTGTTCTACTAGTTTGACCCATATATTTGACCTGACAATCATTACAGGTGGGTTATTAGATAAACTAAATTGTTTTGTTTTGAAGGCTCCACAGGATTGATCCTCTAACCGATGATAAAGCTTGTTTCTAATTGAGTTTGTGGTTGGTTTGAATGCCAGCCAACTTTATTCCCGCTTGCATTGTTAAGAATTCTGCGTAAGGTGGTTCCCGAGGTTCCTTCCTTGTATGGAATTACTACTGATGATTTAGATTCCTTATTGTTGGTGTCGTCATTCTTCTTCTTATTATTATTATTATCATCATTACTATTGTCAATATCACTACTATCATTATTTATTTTATTTTTACATTTCCTTACATATTTCCTGGCTAATTTATCCGGGTAATTATTAAGTTTCAAGACATCTTTTTTGTGTATCACTTCCTGTCTTGGATTTTCCTTGGTACTACATAGTTTCTGTGCTGTATCGTCACTTAAACATTTCACCAATCCTATTTTTACTGACATGGGATGGGATGATCGGAAGTTCAAATATCTGCTTGAATGTGTGGGTTTCCTGTAAACACTAGTGTTTCAACCTCTATAGGATGGGATAGGATGACAGTTTTAAAATAGAACATACAACACATACAATAGGATGGATGGGATAAGATGACACAGGGTGGATGGAGGTAGAGATTGATAACAGAAGCTTTGTTTATCGAATCAACTGCAAATACATGTAATGGGAATGATTCAACACCTGTCCAGCCAGATATCTGGAAAATTCTACTACCACGCCTACGACGAAAAATACGAGAGGACAAAGAAAACCATAAAACTCAAGTTTCGAAGTCGTGTGATTATAATTGATTATATGATTATGAACAAAAACGAATTTTGTTCGAAACGTCATCCAGTTAATACTAATACTGTTTCACTCACTGTGTGTGATACATCTAATGAACAAACTAATATGGAATTATTTACTACCACAGTGCCCCCTAGTTATACACATATATTAATAGGAATGCTTTTTTAAGGGCTTAATATTTCGAATGCAACACACCACGACGTCTATGAGGCACATATCTCCACTACGATGTCTTCCTTCCTACTTACCTCATTCAACTGGCACTATATAACTAACTGACTACCGCACCAGCTTTCGTCTTCTCTTCCCCCTGATGATTTTTTTCTATACCATATTCAGAACCACGCCCAACTCATAGCATCTCATTCATGTTTCACTCAAGGGCCTGTCTAGCATGTGTGTGTGTGTGTTGTCACTTGAGCGTCTCCTCCACCTTACCTCACAACATCCAAAAACAGTGCATTAACCTAATAAATTTACATAAAAGAAAAGAAAACAATTATTTTCAATTACTTGGTGGTGGAAGTATGCCTGGTCGAAGAGGGCCTTCTTCTTCTTCTTTTTCCTTTTTCTCCACTTCTTCTTGGCCTTCTATTGTTGTCTGTTGACTGACATACCCTACAGAAATCTCCGGCATGTCTACCACTGGCTTCTGTTTTTCATTATCATTTGTTAGAGTGTTACAGAGATCATCATCATCTCTAGCCGAAGGTTCAGTAGGCTCCTGACCAGCGAAAAAGAAAAACAAAAAACAATACGCCATCAGTTTAGTTTATTTAATGGTACATGGACATTCAGTTTCGCTCTTATACTTGTCAGACTGTATTGATTCTCTTCACTCTTCTTGTCTACCTTTGTGTGCTATTTGGAACGTGGCAACTCGAACTGCTGCACTTCGGTGCCTAGTTCTATGTTGAATCCAGACAGACAGACATGGACATGGAACCCATTGGTTGAACCCATTCAGTGTTACCAGATCAAACGTAATAGTAGTAGTAAGTAATTGATTCAGACTGGGGAAGTAAACCTTAGAACAATAAGTTGAATTATCGTTCTGTGTGGTTCCGTTAAATAACTGACCACATTCCATATATGATTGATAGTCGTATATAAAAAAACAAGGTTATGCAGCCTTTTTCTTATTCATTGTTACTAGTATGTGATAAATACGCTGAGTGTATTCTACAGTAGTGTGCACAGTAATCAGCTGCTGCCACCTCTACATGGTGGTCAGGTTGGCATAATGATTCATGAGCCTGCTAGCTAACTAGCTAATCCGCATAAGATTCTGCGGGTCCTATTATGTCAGAAAATTGATTTGGAAAGCGGTTAGACCATTATAGTGTTAGACGTCCATATTGTGTTAGAGGTCTGAGGGTGAAGTTGTACTGTTAGCGAATCACGCTTAAACAGCAGTAAGACGTTCCCCCTTAACCTGGGGTGTGGCATGGGGATCCGACATAGTACATATCGAATTACCCTACGGCAGTCCGTAACCAGCCAGTGGTAGTAAGACTTCAATAATGGAAACAATTGCAAAACTCAATTCAAACAGATCTTGTGTGCAATCGACTTTAAGGAGTTGTCTTCCATGCTCTCTCGTCACACAAAACTAGTGCTCTTTCTGCTCTGTCTGTCTATCTATCTGGTTTCAACATAGAACTTTGCATCGGTGTGCAGCAGTTCGAGTCGCCACACTTCACTCAGCACACAAAGCCAGGTAAGAAGAAGAAGAAAGTAAAGGGAAATACAGAACAGAGATAGTAAACAGAGATATGAGGCAAAAAGAATAGTAATATCGAAAAACCACTGTAGTTATATTGGATATTATAAGTCACACGGAGTGTGGCTGCATCTGCAACAGTCACTGAGAACGATCTTGAACCATATCGCCGATTGTCTCCAGCCAATGTCATTGGTTCTTAACATCATCCCAAGGACCCAAATTAGCCAGGAAGTCTACACCTTCTTACATGGCTCAAGCCAACTGTTGTAGATTTCATTGACTAGTGGGGCCATGTTTTCGTTTGACGACCACTGGCTCTCTTCCAATCTGACCCTGATGTAGCTTCACAACCTCGTCTAATGATTTCCTCTCCATACCTAGCACTCGACGCCTAACCTCAATATTGCCCGCTCTTTTACACCTACCAGAGGGATTAGCTTGACTAATATAGTATCTAAAGTCTTAGGCTCAATAATCATGCGTAGACTGAGTGGTGCTCGGGAAGCACAAACACGAGAGAGCCAGGCAGGCTTTAGACCAGGAAGAGAGTGTATTGATCATATCTTCACCCTCCGACAGATTCTAGAACACAGGCATTCCTACCGGCGTCCAACAGTCATTATATTTCTTGACCTAAAGGCAGCATTCGACTCTGTCGATCGAGAAGTTCTCTGGAGATGCTTGGCTGTAAAGGGAATTCCGAGAAAATATATTGCACTGATTAAGGCACTCTACTCGTACTCATACAGCCAGGTGAGGGCTTACGGCGAGCTGTCATCTGAACTGATGACGACCAGTGGTGTCCGTCAAGGATGCCCATTATCTCCTTTTCTATTCAACTTCATCATAGATGTGTTAATGGACTTAACCCTAGGTGACTTCAGTGACTCAGGGATTGACTTGCTACCGGGGAATAATCTCGTTGGCTTGGAATATGCAGACGATATAGTCCTTCTAGGCGAAGACGCTGACAAAATGCAGAGTCTTCTAAACACCTTGAGCCACAATCTACGAATGTTTGGCATGCGATTCGCTCCCGCCAAATGCAAGATGATGTTACAGGACTGGACTACATCGCCGCCTAGTTTAAAAGTAGGAAGTGATGTGGTAGAGCACGTTGACAGCTTCACTTATTTGGGAAGTACCATCAGCCCCAACGGGCTGATCTCTGACGAAATCTCAGCACGGATACAGGGGGCTCGTTTCGCATTTGCCACTTTACGCCGACTCTGGCGTAGACGAGATGTTCGACTATCGACCAAAGGGCGGGTGTACTGCTCATCAGTCCGCTCCGTCCTCCTTTATGGTTGTGAGCGAGACCTGGCCACTGAGAGTGGAAGACATGAAAAGACTAGCTGTCTTTGATCATAGGTGCCTGCGTTCTATTTCCCGTGTAAAGTGGCATAATAAGGTGAGCAACATTGAGGTTAGGCGTAGAGTTCTAGGTAAACAGGGGAAATCAATCGACGAAGTCGTGAAGCTACAAAGACTGAGATGGTTAGGACATGTGTTACGTATGCCAAGCCATCGCCTCCCTCGACAATGAGCAATGTTAGCGGATATAGGGTCAGGCTGGAAAAAAGCTAGCGGCGGTCAAACAAAAACTTGGCCTTACCAGTCAATGAAATCCACAACAGTTGGTCTAAGCCACGTAGAAAGGTGTAGACTTCCAGGCTGGGGTCCTCGGGACGGTAAAAATCTATGGTTGGAAACAATTGGTGACATGGCTCAAAACCGTTCTCAGTGGCGCAGATGCATCCACTACCTGTGACTTATGATTTCCAATGAAACTGTTTTTTTCTTCGTTATTACTATTCCTTTGTCTCACACCTCTGTTTACTGTCTCTATTATGCTTTTCTTGTACTTTCTTCTCTTGCTTCGCGTGCTACACGGAATGTGGCGACTTGAACTTCCGCACATTTGTGCAAAGTTCTATGTCGAAAACAGACAGACCACTTCACACAGGAGATAGAGCGCAGGCAAATATGATCAAAGCGAGGCTTTTCATGTCTCCCACCCTCAATGGCCGGGTCCACAATCTTGGTATGGTTGTGGAAAGCCTAGGTTTAAACGATATGCAAAAGCAACATACCGTGAAATAAGATAATCAAGTCAAATTAGATCAGTTATTGGCCAGATTGTCTTATCAAATGATCCAGTACTATCAATGGGTCTTCCTCTCTCAAATGCCCTCTCATGTAGCCTGTGTCAGACAAACCCCTGTTCACAGTATTTGTGTGCCCAGAAGTGCTTTCACAAAAGTGACAGTGAGAATGAGAATGTTTGACACTCATCATGGGATTGACGTTACTCTGCTACCATGTAACTTCGGCGTAATGGTTCCCTAAGACAAACACCTGCTTTCACTAGACAGTATAGTGAACCCAGAGGACAATAATAATTTGCTTTATTCCAAAAAAAGTACTTATAATACACACAGAATTCATAATGGCGTTTCTTTTGGTATCTGTAGTGACAGTAAAGTTAAAAATGTACAAAAGGCGTAAAATAATAATAATAACAATAATGTTAATATTCAAAATCATAAGTTAATTGAAATAGTGTCACCATACATAACAAACAGAAAGGATTAAAGGGTCAAATATTTTGCTAATCACATAGTAAGTCGTAGGCTACCCACTTAACATTGTCCCTATCACATAGGACACACGTGCGTCAAATAGGATATCGCTGAGTTTCAGTACTTAGTTGCACGAGTACATAATCCTTCATGATGACTTCTAGTCATATCAGATGAGATGCAAAGGCGGGGAGAGTTGAAAATAAGGATAAATCTAACCTAAACAAACTGGTGGTTAGCACTCACGAGGTGTGCAACATAGATAACACCGAAATAGAAACCAAATAGGAAATTAAATACCTAGACGTCATTCTATCTGCTGACCTTTCCTTATTGGTCGTCTCATATCTTGATGATTTCTAAGAAAATATTCCGTCTTACCTTCTACATGAAGAAGTTAGGATATTCTGGAATAAGCCAGCCCTTACTATTACGATTCGTTAACTTGCATTCCGCCAATTATTCTCAATTGTTCCCTATTAGTTTTTTTCCAGTGCTACTGAAGAAGGACTATACTTTATTACGCAGATGTTAAAGGTTGTTAGCAGGGTAAACAACGTGCCACTTAACTAGCCTGTTAATATTCTGGTTGACAGGCACATGGACTCATGTGAAAAATGGGCTAAATCCATTCTATCTATCTAACTCACACCAACCCTTCCATTCACAACTCTCCCCTTGTATCTCATCAGGCAAAACCAGAAGCCTATATAGAAAACTATATGCTCGCACTAGCAAGTACAAAAACTGAACCATACCCTACTTAGCTCGTGTTCTGTGCGGTAAAGAAAGCATTAGGTGTGAAGCTTATAACTTATTAGATAGTCAGTAGAACAATTGGATCTCGTCTTTCCAACTCATATCATTTATAGGTCAAACGTTTTCTTTCATTCCTTTCTTTTTTTGTTATGTGCTGCTTTGTTTCTTTCTTCCTTACAAACTCTATTTAAAACATTCTTCTTCGTTCTTTCACACTCTGTATATCTCGGCCTTTTTGTTAAGGCTTACGCCAGTAAATATGGTAGTATCTACTTTTCTAACACCTTCAAACACTCTGTTCAACTTTTGGCTTTGCTACCGATATGCCAATATGTTGTTGTCACAATGAACTGATATTTCCTTAATCTATGTAGAATTTTCTTTATTGATACTGTACTAACTGGATGCAATACTGTAGTAAAATGCTGAGAATTCCATTCTGTATCACAAGTACTGTTTTGGAATAAAGTAAATTATTATTATTATTATTATTATTATTAAGGTGTTTAGGGTCAGACAATATGGATTTGGATCATTTCTCACATGAGTTGTTCACGTGTCTATCAACTATCAAAGGGACAAGTTGACTAAGTACCACACACCCCTTGCTCTACTTAACAACCTTGAATACCCTGTACACAATATGTCTTAGTCCTTTTTAGGCATCCCAGGGAAGATTAAGATTGGGGAGCAGTAAAGAGCTGAGTGACTCCAGATTGTCTTAACTTCTTCATGTAGAGTAAGTTAGAAACTAAATTTCATTTACATAGAACAAATTACCAACTTACATGACAAATATCCATTTTAAGGGTATCATGATTCTTAGCACAATCCTCTTCCTTCTCCTTCTCCTTATCGTCATGTTCATCCTCCTTTGTATGACACAATTCATGAATTTCTTCAGGTGGCGGTAAATCAATATTACTCAACGGTGTACAAGGTGATGAATCAACTAGAGTATTTTCAGCTGTTGGAATCTTTTCAGATGGTGATGGAGGCGATGGTAGCATGAAATCTTCTTCCTTTAAGGTTAGAGAAAAAATAGAAGCAGTTACATTATTCATTCATTCATTAATGCAGACTAACACCAAAGGAGAGGATTATATTTTCCCAAAATGTATGTGATTAGGCATGAAAATAGATAACATGGAGTAGTATACGTGTTGTTTTTTGGAATTCACTTCTTAATAAATGCGCAGAATTTCATCTGAATGACTGACTGACTGACTGATTGGTTTCCCAACATAGAACTTTGCACCAATGTGCACCAGTTCAAGTTGCCACTCTCCCTCCATATAACACACAAAGCAAGAAGTAAGGGTAAACAGAGAGATAATAAACAGAAGTATGACTAGGGGAAAAAGGAATAGAGTTTTATTGGATATAACAACAAATCACAAAGAGTGAGTGAATGGTATCTGCGCTGTTCATTAACAAAGAAGATTCTGACCCGTATCATCAATTGTCTCTTCTTTCAATTGCCCTTGGTTCTTGCCATCCCGAGAACCCAAACCCCGAAGTTTACACCTCCCCACATGATTCAAACTAACTTTTATGGGATTCATTGACTGATGAAGCCATGTTTTCATTTGACCACCCACCACTAGCTTTCTCTTTCCAAACCTAATCAATCCTATGCCAGCTGATGTCGCCCATCAATGTCAAGGAAGGCGATCGATGGCTAGACATGCTGCATGCTTAACACATGCCCTAACCATCTCACTTAATCGATGCGACTGCCTCACAACCTCGTCGACTGATTTCCCCTCCCTGTTTACCTAGCACTAGAACCGACGTCTAACCTCAACATTACTAACCCTATTATACCATTTGACACCTAAATTAACCAAATTTTCATGTCTTTTTTTCACCTGATATATTCGGTAAAGTAGAAATACATGATTTTATGGACAATATAGTTCAGCATAATTTAGAGGTGTTCAATTTGTTTGCTAATTGACTACAAAACTTCCTTCAGTACAAAAATATACAAACAACTCCAACATAGATGATCCGAATATTTTTTTCTGATTACAGCTTGATTCCACACTATATTTTTGGTACAAGTATGGAATTTTCAGCATGTGATATCGGTAGCCCAAATTTACAGGCCAACCATAGATATCAGGTGTGCTTCGTCGGCAGTGGATTGAACCTCGGACCATGTGCATGGTCGGCGAGAGTCGTAACCACTGTGCCACCGACGCACGAAATGACTGACAGCGTATGTCCACCATCACTATTATTATCCACAGATTTATACAGCTGCATTATGTACAAACTTCTACTAGTTACTGAAACAATATCCAAGTAGTCTGGTGAGGTATAACACGCTTATTATCTGGTTTTCGCAGAACAACGAGTGTAATTTGACGTGAAGATTATTTGTCAAACCTTAATTACCCAAACTCATCTCCAACCCTGAAGGCAGAATTCAGCTTACTTGGATTCGAGTCGACCGTCCTTTTAAATGGTGTTCTTCATCACCAACTGTAGAGACTCGCATGCTGTTCTATAGTCATACAACGTATAGTTTTGTCACAGTTTCGAAAATCAATTATTCGTTGAGTCTACTTCAAATTTTAATTTGTATGATTGATATGCACTTAAACTGCTTTCCCTCCCATGGATATTCAGAAGTATAGCTCAATTGGATCTTACACTCAACATTCAGAGACAGTGAGCTGAACGACTAGGCAGAATAGTCAGTCTAGTCACACAATAAGTGTGGACGATAGTTAGGCACATGGGGACATTATTCCGGGTAGGTGAGTTTTACGCCCCCAATTCGTGTGATGGACTGAGTTTTTTTTTCCTGCTATATATATATATATTCTAAGTGATGGTGCAAGTAAGTTAATCGGTGTACAAGGGCAATGAGCCAGAGACCATAGAGATTTGTGTTACTGTATACATGTTCTGACCGTAGTAGAGGTATACAAAGATGACCTTAAATTAACACGTCGTAAGCTGCACATCAGTCAGGTTTAAATTGAGGAGTGACGATTTTGCACCTTGGAGAAGGGCTAAACTTCAGTATATTAGTTGTTGTGTCGGTGACACAGCGGTAGAATGCTTGCCAACCACGCCTCATGTGGTCCAGGGTACTGTCCCTGGCTAACGCACTCCTTTACCTTGTTAAGCGAGTAATAAGACTGGTGGTATAGATGGATGGTTGGGCATGAGGTGCTAGCTACCCAATCCCGTAGAAATAAACACCACTGCTACAGAAACTTCAAAGCTCTAGCTTGCAGCCCTATGTTCTACTGGGAAAGTAAAGGAATAAGAAAATAATACGAGATGTTAATTATTATAGAGTTTCGAATGGAACATCGGATCAAGTGGTACACTTCCATGTACCTGGCTTTTGGCCAACATTTTCAGTTGGTTCCACGAGGGCCCATAAGCTTCCGTGCACTCTACACATCATTTCCTCTATATCACCCTCGAACTCCCAAATCATCGATCCGTATTCGGGACTCACTCGAGAGCAAGTTGAGTGAGATGTCACTCAGCAGTCACTCCTCTGTGTCTAATTTATGTCTAGTTTCTTATATACATTGATAAGACAATAGATTATTGGTAAATTCTCTACCCAAGTACCTTGTCGACCGACCGGTAACTTGTTGGAAATGCTTTCAGTGAAGCGTATGCCACATCCCTTAACCGTATGAAACGCGTCGACTTGATATCATTTTTTTTAAACTTCGAAACTTGTTCCTTCTGAAGAATGTTCTCCATTCTTTGGAACTCTTCAACTACCTGGAACAGAACTTACATATGCTAAGCTAACAGTCCCACTTAACCTGTGATAATACTACCACCCAGTTGCCCAAGGTTAAAATACGTGGAGTGGGACTCGAATCGATGACCATTATCTGCAAACCGAGCTTTTATGGAAATGAGGCAAATCCACCTGCTTTACACGCAAAAGGTACCCAGTTCCATTCAGGCTTATATTCTACTTAGCATCTCCATCAACACAACCAACCCCATAAGAAGTCAAGTAATGCGACACTGCCAACAGTCCTTAATCTCCTCATGCATCCGCGACATTCATATTGTGTTTCTTCTATTAACTATTGTTTGACTTCTACGCTAATTTCAGTGTAACGAATGCATGTCTTGCTTTCCCGCTTCAATTCTAGTTGACTTAGATATCTCAGTTCATACTGTCTGTAATCGGAATGATGCTTTCCAGGTAAATAGAAGAGACGAACTCCTTTAGATCCCTTCCACTATTAGTGATTGGTACTTATCGTGGGTCGCTGGATGTCTTCACCACCTGTCCTCTGTATTTTTACCTCGAGAGTCTTGTCTTCGATGACTCTACTGGCAAATTATCGGTTTAATACACTGAAAGGCATACAGACTACTTATCTTTTTTTCCGTATCAACGCTCTACGTTTTGGAAATCGCAGCCAGATCCCGTTTGTGTTCATTCATCAAAAATTACAAGAATTCCACATGCAATGAAAACAATCTTTCAAACAAAAAAAACATTATTAGGATAACGTTAACCACGATTAACTGATAATAAGGTCATAGAATATGTTCACAAACCTGCTTTGTATTATATTCTTCATTGCATTGAGATTCCAGTGAGCTTGAGCTTATATTTTCAGTTGCATTTGATGATGGCGTATTTGTTTGTGGAAATGGCAGAGGTGGTCTTCGTGAACGACGTAACTCAGCCAGCTCTCGCATACGTTCACGCTTTTCCCTTTCAGCTTGGCTTACACTGCTTCTTGGAATATCAGCTTTAATGCGTGAAACAGAGGTAGGTTGAATACGTTCTCTAGTGTTTTCAATTTTAGACACTCCAAGTGGTTGAACTGAGGATGAAGACTATATAAGGATTATATCAAGTAAATGTTAGAAATAACAGGTCATTTGTAATGTATTAAAAGGTGAGCATTTTTTTAATCATTTAGCTGACATCTTAAAATAAGCTCTACTCCACATATCAATTAAAACGGAATGGCATTGCATAGGTTAAAATGAAAAGAGCAAAGTTCAACAACAGCGTCCCAAGATATGCGAATGCACGAGTGCCCTTGAGCCGGCAAATTATAAAAATGAGGGATTTTTGCGCAAAAAATGAAGTATATTTACAATAAAATGCATGAAAATACATTAAGCAGGGTATCTGTCTGTCTGTCTGGATTCAACATAGAACTTGGCATCGAAGTGCACCAGTTCGAGTTGCCACCTTCCAAATAGCACAGAGGTAGACAAGAAGATGAGTGAAGAGAATTTATAGAGTTTGACAGATATAAGAGTAAAACAGAATGGGTAATGGTAGAAAGGAATATGAAAGATTACAGAGATTGAATACATCTGCGCCATTGACAACGATTTTGAGCCATGTCACCTATTGTCTCCAGCCATTGATTCCTAGAGTCCCGAGGGCCCCAACCCGGGAGTCTGCATCTCCCTACTTGACTCAGTTTAACTGTCAAGGATTTCATGGATTGATGCCATGTTTTTGTTTGGCCACCACTGGCTCTTTTCCAACCTGAACCTATATCAGCTAACAATGCCCGTCGGGGGAGGCGGTGGTTAGGCATGCGCACCACGTGACCTAGCCATCTTAGTCTATGTAACTTTATAACCTCGTCGATTGATTTTCCCTGTTTGCCCAACACTCTACGCCTAACGTCAACATTACTTATCTTGTGAAACCACCTAACGTGAGACAGAGATCGCAGACATCTATGATCGAAAGCAGTCAACCTTTTCATGTCTTCAACGCGTATTGGCCATGTTTCAGAGCCATAGAGAAGGACGGAGCGAACTGATGAGCAGTACACACGTCCCTTGGTTGATAACCGGATGTCAGGACTTAAAAATACGTCCCAGTTATAATTAGGAGTATCAGTTGCTAAGTTAGACTAATTTCTGTGCGTGTATTTACCGAGGTGACTGTGCAGTCTTCCCTAAAAGTTATCGGTTGGATTATTGTGGTTTTCAGTAAGAAGATCGACAACTACTTACCAGGAAAATATGGATAATAAAACAAATTAAAATAAATGACATCAACTCTAAATCTATCCCTAATCTAACCCAAACCTTAGTCTTAATCCTTATGAAAACCCTTAACCCAACCGTAAAACTAACCCTAATCCCGATTATGACCGTAATCTTACGCCAAAACCCAATACTTAACCCTAATCCTCATCCTAACGAGCTACTAACACATTGTCCAAACAGTACTCAAAGACGTGATCTGGGTGAAATTTACTCCTTAGTTGGTGAATAGCCTAGGATAATGACAGGTGCTGTTAGCCAACGACTAGCATGCGCTCAAGGACATTGGAGCATTCGTACTCCTGGCACGCTATTGTTGAACTTCGCCATGAAAAGGATATCAGTTAAAATAATCAGTTTCCAAATCTTTCAATTCAAAACATAAAAACTATAAACGGATGATGTAGAGTGTCCGCCAATACGTAGCCTTCAATTCCCAAGTTTCGACTTGGAACAAAGGACAATATGTAAAATACCTCTAGATATTTCAACCGACCTTCTAAGTACGTTTTTATGAATTTAAGACACAAGCAGTTCCAGAAAAATTGGATCCAATTGGACACCATCCTAAAATATATACAATGAAATACTAGAACGAATAATAAAGTTTTAATAAAGTACATTCAAAGAAGCCCTCAAAAGTACATCACTCTCAATAGTAGAAGGCTGTAGCTTCATAGTTTATTGATACAAGTTAAAAAAAAAACTCGGGCACTGTGGCAGAGTATAACTCCATTATTGATAGTTTATGCTTGTTAGTACACATTGACAGGTTTTACTAAACACGATCACAGAATATCACCAGATATGTGTTCACCAATATTTAATATACCAAAATGCAAAAAACTTAAAAACTATACGTAAACAAGATTGTTTATAGTTCGTTTGTAAGGGTTAGTTTTGTTTTAGAGAGTTGATCAAGGATTGATATCAGTTAAACAACCATCGAAAACCAGGGAGTACTGGACAGCTGTTTCATCCTAGTTTGAGAATCATCGGCAGTACGCATCCACCACCAAGGTTCGGACCCAGAACCTTCCGGTTACAAGGCAAGCTAGCTCGTATACCATTCAGTCTTTGGGACCCGATTCAATAGCTCACGAATTGGTAGAAGTCAGAAGTCAGTGGCTGAGTGGCATACGAGCTAGCTTGCCTTGTAAACAGAAGGTCCTGGGTTCGAACCCTGGAGTGGCGGTGGATGCGTACTGCCGATGATTCTTAAACTAAGATGAAACAGCTGTCTAGTACTCCTTGCTTGTTTTTAATGGCTCTCTAACTGATAACAATCCGTGATCAACTCGTAAAAATAAACAAGATTCCCAAAGCACCCATTTCCCTAAACAGTTGCAGAAGTAAAAGAAAAGATTATTGTATATGCTACTATGATGGCGGAAAAACTTACCCACAACATGATACATGGGAATAGAGGAAATAAAAGAACCTACACTTTTGGATGATGCACCATTAACTCCATGACTGCTGGAATTACCCGACTGATTCGCACTTGCTAAACACTCCAAAGAGCCCTCCTTGCGGAAACAGGCAAAGTATTTTGAACATCTAGACTGTCCTGCAAAACAGTCATGTGAATGGAAAAGATTAAAGTTAGTGCAGGTAACGAGGATTTTTTTTTTCTTGGCTCTCGATACACGATTGGTTTGTGAGGATATGTTCATCTGCAAACTTTAACCAAAACTTGCAGAATTATTATTATAGCCTCAAAGACTGATCGTGTTATTCGACCAACCTATATATATATATTCTCATAGAGGAAAATTATTGAGTATATACTCTAGGTCAAATAGTCTCATCCTGTAACAGTCTAAGCCATCAATCAACTCACATTCTCTTTCGCATTACCATCAAAAACAGAGTAAGAAGAGAGATGAGACCATAAAAACCTGCATAAGTTTACTGTTTGTCTAAAAACATGACAGCAGGTGCTTATGTCACAATAAACTATCGTCTTCGGGATGCTTTTCAATAAGTCAAATCAATTCGTTTAGAATTGTCACTTCAGATGAATAACTGTTTCTGATATCAGTGAGTAGTGATTTCTCGCTTAAAATAATTGGGGTGATTTCCAATGCATACCCATTAATTTCAAAAGACAGTAAAGTACATCCAATCATTCACATGTCTAGAATTATTCTCATTTGAATTGAATCTCATGTGATGTGTGTTAGATACATGGGCAACTTTTCAGCGCCTACGAACACCTACACAAAAGCGAGTTTCAATACACATTAAACATTACTGTTCAAAAGGTGTTAGCAAATTTCAATAATAAGAGGGAAAAAACTATTTTAGATGCCACTAGCTATCGATTATAATTGGCGGCACTTATAAGTACTGTACCAAGCAATCGTGAAACAAAGCGTCAACATAATAGGTGATAAATACAGCGGATTAAAACTTACGTCTTTGGATGGTCCACCAACAGTTCCATGACTTCTGGAACTACCCGACTGATCTGCATTCATTATACGCTCCCAGCGAGCCTTCCTTGCGAAAACGGGCAGATTATGGTAATCAGCTAGACTGTCCTAAAAAGCAGTTGTGTCAGTGAAAATCAGTTACTCTGTTGCATTTGACAGAGGATTTTCTGGTCGCTTTCTCCGCCACTTTCGGACTTTGAAGACGAATGTGCCTTAAGTCATCTTCCCATGAAGCAATCTTTTAAAATACGTCAGAATATCACTGCGAATATTACCTCCTTTGCTAAATTAGCCAGTTTAAACTTCGTTTTCTCAATTCCCTCACCGCTCATCCTGTTGAGTAGAAAGCTGAATCGACCGCTTGACTTTTCGTACTCCCAACTTCCCGCCGACAGCACTAAGGCACACTTCGCAGGATTAAAACAAAAAAACTGCATCATTTAACTTAGATGCATAGGTGATGTTCCTAGGCTGTTAAGACGCACCAAAAATTCGTAAAAATTCAGATTCATTAGATATCTGTTCTAATGTAATTCAATATTAGACCAACATCCATGACGATATCAAGCCCTCTACTTCATGCTTGAATGGGAACACATATACTTCATCTCTTCAATTCTTTGTTTGCGTTCATGATTTCTAAGTCAGAAGTTGGATAGTATCACCCTAGGTACATTTTTTGGTGACATTCGACAGCGCACTGCTTAGTTACGAGATAGGTATTACTGTGGTTCCAATATCCAATCCAATATCGTTTTTACGAGCTAGTATAAACCAATTTGATTTCTTTGTGCTCGCTTCTTGATTGTGAGGTATAGGTTCTTGATCTTCGGTAAACTTCTGCGTAGCTTGTCCCGCCACTCGACTGTCGTAGCTTTGGTTGACTCCAAAGGGAGTAGTGCTGGGATTAATTATATGTGGTTTGTAGTATGAGGTATGTTAAGACTGTTACTACTGTGATTGGAGTTGATCCTTTCGCCAGTTAGTCCTTCGGTATTGTCGACAAGAGAAAAGAGATAGTAATAATAATAATAATAGTAATAATAATAATATAATAATAATAATAGATATAATTAGTGAAGCTATTCAGACTAAGAGACAGAAACGAAAATAGGAAACGTAACAACAGTCAGCTCATGAAGTTTGAAGAATAATATATATATCGGTAATAGTAATAATAATAATAATAGTAATTATAATATTAATAAGTTGTCAGGAGAGTAAGACGGGAGAGAATGTAAAGAAGTAAAATGACGAGTTTAATTATCTACCCTGATTGGTAAATGCGATTTTAAGGAGATAGGCCATTTGGATGCAGTCCTTGTATCGCTGCATGGTTGTCCAGCCTTCGCTTAAAGGCGTCCAAAGACGGTGCCATAGCTACATCTGCCGGTAAGGAATTCCAGGGACGACAAACCCGCAGTGAAAAGAAGTGGGAGCGCACCCGGGTCCTTGCCCTCTGGTGAGCTATCCTTCTGGGATTTCCACGTGGAAGCCTATACCTACTCAATGGCAGAACACCTTTGTTTGGGTGATTCTGGTCATTTGTTATTTTGTAGGCAGTAATCAAATCCCCCCTAAGCCGACGGTAACTAAGTGTGAACAGGCCTAATTTCTTCAGCCTTTCATCATATGGTTTGTTTCGGAGACCAACCACTCCTTTTGTTGCCCGTCGTTGGACTCTTTCCAAGAGGTTGGCATCTCTTCTCAGCATTGGGGGTGCAATAATATTATGCACCTCAAGGTGTGGCCTGACGTATGTTTTGTACAACATTAGAAAGAGCTCAGGAGTGAGTGCACCTAACTGTCTATGCGTAAAGTGTATGACCGCATATGCCCTCGCTACATCCCCTGTGTAATTTACGCTTGTGTCCATTTTTTCCGTTAGAACTAGACCTAAGTCGCGTTCCGACGTTGTGCAGGACAAGCTTTCATTGCACAGGGTGTAACTTGCATTCTGCAGTCTACAGGTGCGCAACTTCACTACTTTGCACTTTTTCAAGTTGAAAGTCATGCCACTGGCCACCGCCCAGTCTTCCAGAAGGTTTAGGTCTTCCTGTAGCCTATCTGAGTCCTCCGGACACTTTATCGCCCTCCATATTTTTACGTCGTCAGCGTACAGGAGAGTCGGGCAGCTCAGACGGCGTGGTAGATCATTGATGAAAATCAAAAACATCAGTGGTCCTAGGATAGAACCCTGCGACACTCCTGATGACGATCTGTGCCAAGATGATCGGACTCGGTTAACCTTAGTGCAAAATTGCCTGTCGGCTAGGTAGTCCTTCAACCATGACAGAAGTGGCTCACCTATGCCTGCCTGTCTTATTTTATGTAGGAGAAGGTCATGGTGAACAGTGTCAAATGCCTTCTCAAAGTCTAGGAAGACCACATGGACTGGTACGTTCAAGTCCCAGCATGATGTCCAGTCGTCCCAAGCTGACAGTAGGTTAGTGACGCAGGATCTGCCTTTTCTGAAACCATGTTGGGCTTCATGCAGTATATTAGTCCTATCGAAATATTCCCTGATGTGGTCGTCAATAATACTTTCCAGTACTTTTGATACCACTGGGAGTAGAGCTACTGGTCTATAGCTAGCAGCGTTTTGCCTGTCCCCACCCTTGAAGATTGGAGAAAGGATGGCTCTTTTCCACTCCCTTGGCAGGGTCCCCGAATCCATTGAGTGTTGGAACAAGTCGCACAGGGGTCTACAGAGAGCCTCGGCGCACTGTTTCAGAACAGATGGCCTGATGTCATCACAACCTGGGGACTTCCCAGGTATGAGTCGCTGTAGCTTCCTTAGTACTATTGCGGGGTTTATTTGGGGAGTAGTCGCTAGGTCTTCCTCCTCTGAAATAGTGGTGCCACCATTTTGGTCCGTAACTGTAATATCCACATTGCTGTTTAGCTGTTTAGCGAAGGCTGAACTGAATGTTTCAGCCATCTCCAGACTAGTGAGATATTGACCGTTTGGGCCTACTAAGGCGCATGCCCCTTGGTTTGTCGGTTTTCTTTCCGACATGAATCGGTACAAGTTTTTAGGGTTTGATAGGAGTTTTTTAGCAAGGTTAGCCTGGAATGACCTTCTGTCCCTCCTAACTCTTGCATTACACCGGTTCCTGAGTTCGAGGTATGCATCATGGTCGGTCTGACTCTTAGATACACGCCACGTAAACCAAGCCCTCCGCTTTGCTTGCAGAATACGTTGCGTGCCTCTCTTCAACCATGACGTCTTTCTCTTAGGCTGTGTTGTGACTAAAGGGACGGTATCCGAGATTGCTGCATGGATAATCTTTGGTTGTGTGAACCAGGGAGTGTTCCAACAGAATATTATCCTCACAGTAAGACTCATTGTATTTATTGATGTTAACGTCTGGATACTATTCTCTCGGTTCAATACTGAATCATATGCGGAATACTATATATTTTTGAACATTCTATTTCATGTTAATGTAAGCAAAAATTAAAGACTCAATGACCGGTCGTAGAATATAAATTGTGTATGTAAATAGCGGCGTCCCAAATTGAAAATA